AATTCTAGTACCCCGGTAATACATGTTCCTTTATTGAAATGAGCTCAAGTGAAATGTATGTTGTCTTTCTTTCAAAGTTATTGAGTTTACTGTCGAATAACTTTATGCTTCGCAGTTCCTGGGGAAAAAAATGTGGCAATATTATTATTAGATAGTGTTTTTTTACTACCGGGTATAGTGTATGCCTATTTTGAGATTCTGAAAATGGTGGAGTTAATTAAAATTTAAAAAGATTATTAATTCAGTATTGCACATTAGATTTGCTTTAATTTGTAAAAAAAAACTTTCCTTTACCTAGAGATTATTTGAAGGGTTTCCATAAAAGAAAAATTGACAGAAAAAAGCTGGCCAGAGAACAGCAAGACAAGAAGATCTTGGAAGAAAGGAAAGAACTCCTAAAGCAGGTACAGTAACTCGATTTCATGCTAAAGTAACTTTAAAAAAGCAAATGTTTTATGTATACATGTCAAAAATATATGTATATCACGATGAGAATGAATTGTCTAGAGTAAGCAATTTTTTTTAAAGGGGTGTTTCTGGCATATTAATTAAGTATCATGTAATTAAGCTTCTTCCCTGGATTCAAATCTTTTAAAATTTGACTTAGAAGTATGATTAAAACTATTTTAAACAACAGATATTTTGGAATTAGTTGGGGATATGCCAGACTTTGATAGATTAAAATGCTCAACATCATTTGCCAAATTTTTGCAAGGGATTTGAAGTTGGTCTAAAATGGTCTCAAAATAAATGAAGCATTCTGGCTATGCACATACCTGCCAAGTAAATTTAAAAAGGTAAAATGCCAAATTAAAATCTTGTTTTAAAATATTTTCAGGCCAGAGATTTAAAGAATAATCAGATGAGGCAGCAGTCAGTTGTTATTCCTGAAATTGAACACCTGGTTAATCCTGAGGTGTACGATCTTCCGGAGCACACAGTGACCATTGCTAATATTGGAGACGTTGATTTTGTTGGTAAAGCAGGCCTAAGGCTAGGTCAAAATACTGGCAGCGTGAGTAATTTAGTGTGGATACACATGAACTCTATAAGCTCTCTTGTTAAATTGTTCTATATCTTCGAGTGATTCAGAAATCACTTATATATCAACCATTTTTTTTCATTTTAATACTAACACTCCAAGCAAGTGCTTTTTGCTAAATCTGTTTTCTCAAAATTCTAAATCTAGCATTTCTGAAAGGATGAACGTGTTCTTTCTTTTATAATTTGGAAATTCATTATTCCTTTGTGCCTCACAAAACTTTCAATTATTAACTGCCTAGGAGTAGGAGTAAAAGAAAAACATAATACCATTACTGGTACCTATTTTAAAACTTCTTTTTTTATTTTCCAACTGGATGCCTTATTTATGTTTGGTGTAATTAGCAATTTACTCTTCAAAGAGTATTAGTAATATTAGTCTTACATTCATTACGTTATCTCTTCATTTTATTTGCTGCTCTAAAGAGAGCGTAGTATGATATATTATTGTTATGTATGATAGGGAGCTTGAATTTTGTTTACAAAGTATTGCACTTTGAAAATATTTCAGGACAAGGACTCGGATGATGATACTCCAGCAACTGCAAACCCAGTACAAAATAAATCTTTAAGGCAAAAGTAAGTGAGAATAAAACCACTCATTTAAATTGTCTTTGGAGGTCAGGTTAAATTCTATAAAATTCTTACATATCTCAATACAAGCAGAGTGCACCATACGGAAGTAAAGAGAAAGTGATTTGAATCTTTAATTTTAAAGACAAAAGATAAGAGATGAACATTGATATTTTTTAATCAAAATTGTCATTGTACATTGAAAATTTTCATTGTTTTGTTCTGTCTTCCCAGACTTGCAACATGTAGCAATCAGTTGTCCTCAACCAAACTCAAGGCAAAGAAAATGAAGAAAAAACATATGTTGAGACAAAAATTTCAAACTAAGAGAAAGGGTGAAAAGAAAGGAAAAAAGAAAAAGTATAAATAAAGCACTTCATAAAATTTAAAATGATTTGTCTTGTATTTGTCTTAGTAATTATGGGAATAGCACTGCAGAGCTGTGCTGTGGAATGAAATAAGTAATTACCTGTATTTATAAAAGTTATAGCGCTGCAGGGCTGTGCAGTGGAAGGAAATGATAAGTAATTATGGGAATTATAATAGTTATAGGACTCGGGGCTGTGCTGTAGAAGGAAATAAGTAATTATCTGGTATGGGAATTATAACAGTTATAGCACTGCAGGGCTGGGCAGTTGAAGGAAATGATGCTTGCTTCATTAAGCAGGTGAGCTATGTCATAACAAAGTTAGATTCACCCTATGCCTTTGATCAAGTTGACAAGCAAGGTTTGTGGTATTTACAGTTGTGTTGTTAAGTTAATCGTATGTTTAAAAATAGCATACATTTTTCTATAATTTTCATTATTAACTCTGGGATTGCTCAAAACGTTTAACAAAATAGTTTTCCATCAGTGGCGTAGGAGATGGGGTGGTTTGCTCCAAAGGCATATATTTTCTTCGTGAGGTTTGGTATTTTCAGTCAACTGCAGAGTTTATTTTGCGGAAGTGGGGTGGTGGAAATCTTTTCCTGCCCAAAACCACAAACCCTATCTACGCAACTTTTGCTAATGAAATGACTTGGTATCTTTACAAAGAAATATTTGACTGTTTTTATTTTTTAACAAGAAATATCATAATCACTCTTATGATAATCTAAATCATGTATTTTTAATGACCTTAACATATTTTTACACGTTGTCATGCAAGATTTGCTCAGTTCTGCAAAACATTTGATTTGAATACAGAAGTTTAAACTAAGGAAAAAAGACATTTTACTCTTCAAATTTTCTTGGGTCCTATCCTATTGTTTCATGTAATATTGTTCAGATTATGGGATCAGGCACTAATATCTCCTGAAAGAGTTGACCCGTTTTCTGAAAGGTGTTAATGCTTTTATTTGTGGTACCGTAGTGGAGTTGGGATTGCTAGGAATCCAAACCATATCTGTTTGAAGTAAGCCCATAAAATGCCTGTGACATTTTAGTAAGATTTTAGGAAAAATATGCATCTTCCTGTAAGCTTCAGGGGAAAGTATAAAGCTGTTACCCTCTAGAACAACAGGCAAATGACAAAGGCTAGTTTGCAAACTGACAAATTCGTTGTTCAGAAATAAGGAGTGCCTGAATGTCCCTACCGGCATAGGGTAAGTAGGCTTAAGTCTGGGGCCTCTGTCATCTAAGAGCCTTAAAATTTAAGAAGCCACATTTTATAGGTTCCTGAGCTTACAAAAATAATTAAAATAAAATAAATTACAAATATGTAAATGTACCACAAATGATTTTTTAAATAAGAGCACACTGCTGTGATACTAATGGAGCCATTACAAGGCTCCTGCGCCTGCAAGGGGCCTTGGACAGTTGGGAACTGGAAAATACTTACAATTGAATGTAATACCTCGATTAACAAAAACCGAATATTGGTACTGGGGCCTCTAAAATTCATATGACAACCCTGTATAATAAAGGAAATATTTACTAAAAAAAGTAAAAGATCGCATAGAGCAAGCGCGGAAGATTTAGTGTTTAAGTATTAAATTTCACCAATGAGTTTAGGACTGACTTTAAAAATATCAAGGACAATCATCACAATGCTGCCAGCTATCCAGTATGGAGCAAGAAAAATAAATTATGGAAAACAAATTTCAAAATTTATTCCAAGCGCTGATTACTCATTAAATTTAATCGGCTGTGCTGCTGTTGACTGATGTCTTCATGAAGGGAAACTTATTAACAATCACACTTATAATTTCTTGTCATCCTTCAGAAAGAGATTGACAGTTTTGAAATTATTTTTGCAATCTCATTTAAAATCAACTAAATATGTCTCGTAATGTCTGGGATGCACAAGCAAAAGCCACAGAGGCTATTTTTGGAAAGCTTTAGTGCTTTCACTGATGTCCTTAGTTATACTCTGATGTGAATGGAAAAAGACGATACCAGGCATCAAGTCGATATTTTGCAGAAGATAGAATTGGGATTTATGTTTATGATACGGATACATTTTCGTCTGATGTGTTTTAATTATTTTCATAAAGTTATAAAGTCAGCAAAATTGGCCTATTAATAAGCAATAATAAACCAGTATTTGTGCACCTTTTTAAATATGTGCAAACCTTTTTACACTCCACTTGAATTATTTTATTATTTAGAGATTTTGATGAGCAACATAATTTTGTTTCATTTTCATATATTAAAATATATTCTGAAACAAACTGTTTAATCCTTTTATTCTTCTGTGGTAGAGGCGTCATGGGGACTGTTCTTAACAAGGGGTACCAGGGCCCCCCCCCCCCGTGGGCGCAGGAGGCAGTGTCAGGGAGTGCTGGAAGACCCAGAACAAAATTAGGTTGATGAGCTTTTGGGGTGGGGAAATATGTTAAAAATCAAGATGAGAGTGCAGGAAATGTTTTGAAATCAAGAGGAGATGCTGCATTGTGCATTCACTTCGTAAATTTAAATTTTACCTACAACTTAAAAGTTTAAGATTTTCTTTTAAAAAATTTGGTAACCTAACTTTCATTGTGAGCTTTATGCACAACTTCATCTGTCCAAATAAACCACAGAATGAAATGGACATGATTTCTTTGTATCAAAGAATAGAAATACAGGGTATGGCATTAGACCCCAAAAATTGATAATATTTTAGCTAGTTTTAAGCAAGGCCAAAGAGACATATGTTGGGAAAGAAGGGGGGTGACTCATGACATCTGATTCCATGTCTACATTGCATCTGTCATTTTGTTGTTCAGTATCCAGGGAGTATGGTGCACACAATAGAGGAACAAGTACTCATTTAGTTAAAATTTGACATTTTGTCTGCATATGATAATATACTAGAGCAAGAAGCATTGGTTTTGTATAAGAAATTTCTACAACAGGTAACTAAAAATTATGTCAAAAAGTTATATAAAATAATGAGATATATAATTAAAATTTAACACTTGCATATTTTAAAATATTTTCATTTAATTCACATCAATTCTTACAAATGAGCAACAAATGCATGGGTTAATCCAAATGCATGAATAAAATGATAATTAAATTGCTTTGCCTTTATCTCCTAACACTCAATTAATTTTTTTCTTCAAATTCTGTTCATGCAGCTGATAAATTTAATTTTAATAAAAACTTTATGTTCATTACACACACTATCAAATAATCAAAGGTTAACATACATAGGAAAAAATTTAAGGCATATGAAAAATATATACAAAATAAAATAGTGGCATGAGATGAAGACTCAAAAATGAGATTAGTTTATTTTACAAGTAAATTTTAGCGATTATTCATTCAATACAGCTAACTTAACAAGCTGGTATAATAATACATACAATTCTTTTCCAATATATAAATCTTTTCTTCCACATCCCAATGCTTTTTGAAGAAAAAAACCCACCATTTTTATCATCTGATTCATCTTATCCAATCACCTGCTTGTTGGTGTCTTTGGGGAAAGAAATAAAGTACAAATTCCCTGGTTGTGGTGACCGATATGGGGTCACATAAAGTTTTTTGTGTGGTCGCCATCTGAAAGCTAGCTTAAAAAAATAACCTTAAATAAATGTTCTGTTTCCAGGGTCTTTATTTACTTTATATATTTTTGATAACTTCATAATGCTCACATTAGAAACATATTCTTTCAGTCATGTTTTTTCAACCTTAATGAGAAGTGGCATATTAAAATCTACTCCCGTACCATACTAAAGATGCTCCCCTAAAGACATATAAATGAGTATGATGATTTCAAACACATGTAAGTATAATATGTAATTGTAACATAACATTTCTTTTTTTTCTTTTAAAGCAAAATTATAACCGATTCTCACATTTTTCTCAGATAGTTTATAACAAATCATGAAAGCACCAATTTCTTTACAAATGCTCGAATCTGATCATCGTCTACTGATCCAACAAACTGATTCAAAACTTTACCATTCTTGAGACCAATCACAGTAGGCACTGATCTAACCTAAAGACACAAAAGAACCAACTGTCAATCTACAGCACAATCAATTAAAAATGGAAATGATTAATATTTTTAAAAAGAAAATCATATTTAAAATTAAATCATGGGTGTGATTGAACATTTAATGAAATTTTAAACCCAAACAATAAGTTTAAACCCAAGACTGTGTGCTTAAATTGCTATTTGAGGTACCAGTAAAAACACTTATTTCCATTTTGGTTAATTTTTTTATAAAGTAAATGTTACAATTTCAACATTTTGATATTGGCAGCTTGTTAAAATACACAATTTTTTTTAAAACCATGTGACCTACCAGTGTTTTTTTTAAAGGGCTGATCTAACAGGACTTATTTACAAAATAATTTTAAGTTACCGGTATTGACATTTAAAAAAATACTAACTCCAAATTCAACAGCTAACTCTGAAACTTCATCAACATCCACCTTAGCCATAACAACTTTGCCTTGTCCCTCAGCTAAAATTGACTCAAGTCTAGGACCTAATAGTTTGCAAGGTCCACACCAACTGGAAGATAAAATTATGCTTGGAAATGACTTATATGTTAGAAGGTAAAAAGGCAAGGAACTTATCAAGTGACCTTAAGAAATATGTCATTGATGATAACTAAACAAAATTATCATTTGATTTGTACATTTCCTTAAAAAATTATGCTTTTAAGTTATTAAGCAATGAAGTCTGTATATTGTGCAGTGTTCCTAAGAGGGTGCATCCTGGCAAAACTTTTTATAAACTTTAGTTCGGTAGATAACTTCTGAAGAATTCATAATATCAAGTCATATTGAGATTGATTTCATTGCAATTCGTGAATGACCTTTTTTTTGCTATACTATTTCAGACATTTTATTACTTATAAACTCTCTTTTGAAATTTTTCAGCCGATTCCAAATGGGGGTCACAGAGAGTTTTCTGTGTGGTCCCCAGCTGAAAGCTAACTTACTAAAATAACCTTTATCAGAATAGGCATATTAAAATCTATTACAAAACCGCACTAAAGATGCACCCCAAAGACACATAAATGAGTATGATTTCAAACTGTTTTGTTTCGTGGGATAAATGGCTTAATGAAATATTAACATTTTTAGCTTAGTGACATGTCAACATTGCATCAAAGAAATAAAAACTGCTAAGAGTTATTCTTCTTTTAACTGTGCAGGGGAGGGGGGTGGGGTTTACAACTTGAGGCTCAACGATGTGCATAGTCCTGACAAGTAATTAAGAGATGAATCCATTATGGTAGTTTACTTCTGATACAGAAATGTTGAGCTCTAAATAAAAAAACAAAACAACTCTAAATATTTTTTAGTTTTAGTATTGAACACTTACGTCGCATGGAAATCAACCACTACAGGAATAGTGCTGCTCACTTCAATTACTCTCTTTTTGAAGTCTTCTTCGTCTTGAACATTAATCACTTCAAACTTTTTAGCTGATGTTGATGTTAAACGAACAACAGTGCTTGATGTCTCTATGTGGTGATTTTGGGTAAGTGTTAAAGGCATGCGCCTAAGTGAATATGTTGATAATGTTTGCGATAGTCTATATCCATGTCTCAAATTTCTCATAACATGAGAGCAACCAGCAATCTTTGTTACAAAATTTCTTGCTGGATTCATTTTTGAAATTCTGTTGTTTTTCCTTTATCTGTAGAAAGATACAAAGGTTTGAAAAGGTGAATGAATGAATTGCTTTAATAAAAAATAATTATATATAGTTCTTTATAGGAATTAGGTACATTTTTCAGTTAATTTAAAAACTGTTTGGCTTGTGAGTAAGATGAAGTGAAATTATCATTTCATGTTCATTTTAAAATATCCAGTTTCAGTAGTATTATTCTTATGTCGGTGCTGTTAAGCCACAATTTTGAGAGCCTCCAGTATTTTAAAGCCACACACCCCCACCCTCAACCATTTTTTAAAAAAATCAATTTCGTCAATAAATACCATCAAAGACATTTAGATACACCCTCCCCTTCCCAAAAAAAAGCACACACTCATTAATACTGTTATGACTTGGGAAAAAAATTTGAGTGTGAGGGTTATTTTTAAATTTACTTTCAAGGTAACTCAAAACAGAATTTCCATTTTGTCAAGATAAAAATTATCATTATTGACAGAGTCAGAGTGATTGACAGTATTGACAGCTGATTTTTCAGCACCAAGACCCAAATCTTCATTGACACTACACTGCCCACTGAGTTTTTTTAAACAGGGTTTTCTCCTCCCAAAGTCCCAAGAATAATTTTAATAAATGCCTTGCTTACAGTTACAACAATCCTCCAAAGTAAGGTCCCAAATTATTTCCAATGATTACTCCTTACTTAAAAGTCTTGGGCATCATTTTGTTTTGAAATTCATGTTTGCGATAGTGGACAATGTTGGATGGAGGTTGTTGGCCGTCGAGATGCACAAACACTCGAGCGCATTATCACTAAAAATGTGTTACCAGGGACAAGTGTCGCCACGGACCCTTGGTGAGAATATCAAAATGTCTGTCAGCTCAAAACAGGATTTATGCTCATGCTGTCATTGTGCACACGCACGAATTTGTTGATCCAGTAGACCAGGACATTCACACATAAGGACTTTGGATGCAAGCGAAACGTAAACTCCACTAGCAGGGTGGTACTAGTCGCGGTCTGTTTGCCAGCTACTTGGGGGTCTTTCAGTGGCGCAAGTCACAAGCAGAATGTTTTCGGCTGTTTGCGAATGCTATGTGCCAATTACAATATTTAGTATTTACCGACTGGTTTGTAAAGAGACAGTTATTTGGAAAAGCTAGGAAATTTCTGTTGTTTTCTAACAATACATGCTGTGCATGACATTTTTTTCATTTGAAATAAATTGGGACCAGACTTCGGAGGATTGTCCAGTTACAGTTTAGCTTAGATGACAATCACAATGTCAATGACATAATACATGATAGTCATGATACATACAATAATTATAATGTAATAGTAGAAGTATAAATTAATAAACCTTTATTTACTCTCTAAGTCAAGTTTAGCAAAGTAAGTTACTATTCTATAACTTAAGTTTCAAGTATAAGACTTATTATAAGTCAAGTGAACTAAACTAAAAGTCAAGATAAGAGTGAATAGTAAATCGCTTTAACTTTTAAGTTTAGTAGATTAAACTTAATTTAAAAGCCATTTACCCTTTAAAAAAAATTAAATTCATACTTAATAATATTGTCATTGTCTAATTATGAATAATATGATTTAAGAAGATTTAGAGGGCCTCGGCCTCTGAACACTACTCATCAGAAGGGAGAAGGGCTAGCAGTGCAGTGACAGCTTTCTTTTCTCGTTAATCTTTTGTAATCTACTATTAAATAAATATACAGGCCTAGGCCTAGGCAGTATTCAATTCTGAGAAAGTGATGCACAAACGTTAGTACCTTTACATTTGTGTTACTTACTTGATCTTGATGGTAATAAATTTCACGAAATGTTTTGAACGTCACTACTTTGAGAGTAGGTGCCTTTGACCTTTAGCTCATGTAATCGGAAACGGAAAAATGAAAAATGAAAATAAAAGTGAAGTGTCAGAATAATATTGCTAAGAGACTCAAACTTCCGGCGTCGCTAGCTTAATTCACCGATCGACCGATGGACCCTACCATGCTAATACTAATGATCACAGATGTGACAGATAGTCAATCTTAATCCGAGGGAATATGGAGATAATCATTAACTCATAGGAACGCCGGTCATATTAACATTACAAAAGTAAGTTTCCCAGTTTCTTTCTTACTTATAGCAAAATATGATTTGATGATTAAGTTTAAGCCACCGAGATGAGAGATGCCATGACGTCATTTGCCTGTTTATTAAAGTTTCCGTGAATTAGAGTTCATGTTAGGTTTAGGGATACATTTTTTAGGGTTTATGTTAGGTTTAGGGATACATTTACTTTAGGGTTCAGGCTAGGGCTAATGTTGAGTATCATCCCATGACGTCATTTGCGTGTTTATTATATTAAAATAACAGTGAATTAGGGTTTAGATTAGGTTGAGGGATCGATTTAGGGTTCAGGTTAGGCTTAGGCATAGGATAATAGGAATGGATTTAGGGTTCAGGTTAGGCATAGAGATTGATTTAGGGTTAAAGTTAGGCATAGGGATATATTTGATTTAGTTTAGTGACAACCAAGATGGCAGAAACCCGGAGAGATTTCTCAACATTCTCCCAGGTTAGGTTTAGGGATGCATTTAGTTTAGTGACAGAATTAACTGTTCTTGTCACTCTTGTCAATGTCAACCAAGTTGGCGGTCATTGGAAAAAAACCAACATGGCATCTCTTCTTTGGCTCTTTGCATTTACCGAAATGACTAATGACTAATTAGTTTAGTAATGACTAATAGTAACTAATACTAATCATCAATCATCACATGGCCATGCCGATGCCTTATATACTAATTAGTAATTACTATACTATAGTCTATAGTATAGTCATAGTATATACCACCTAATCCTAACAAATCTGAGCATCTTTAATTAATTATTTTAATTATAATTAATATATATGAATTATTGGGCACTTTCACTGTTAAAAATAGGCATACATACGTAAAATCCTCCAAATCATCATCCCCCTTCAATGAGTACTTAATACTCATCAAATTATTTGTCAATAAATTATGTTTAAGGATTCACTCTTAGACTTAGACTTAAGGTCTTAAGTCAAAGTCTAACCACTTGAAATTGTTATTAATGTTATTGAGGGGTGCAGGGCCAGGGGACAATAACTGCTAAATCTAAGTTACTTACTACTAACTTACTAAGTAATAAATTGTTGAAGAATGAAATTTCCATTTTAAAAATTTTAATTCTGATCACTTATTATTGAAAAGTACGACTACTTTTAGTAATAGCTTTAAACTTAAACCTACGAAGACAAAGTTAGTATAGTATTATTAGATATATTGACTGTACTACTCAGTTTGGTACTTCAATTTTAATTCACCGCAAAAATTAGCATTACTGCTATTCTATTTTTATGCAATTATATCCGGTTTAAAATATATAACTGCTTCTGTAGACACCATGAATTCTTTGACAATTTCTGCATTAGTTCACAATGAAGTTAGTTGTATCTTGTTTCTACAACAACACAGTATTATACATGCTGTCAGACGATGTGCTAACAACCAAAAAGTTAATGGAATGCCAATACTCAACGCATCGAAACATACGTGGAAATTGGCAAAAGAGAGAAACAATGGCACACACAGACATATGCTCAATTTTTATATGTGTGGGCTCGTTTTGCGTCAACGTGTTAAAGTTAAAGCAAATGGTTTGAATGTATTCAACGCCATTCTAGACAATATTGTTCAAATTTGGCCACCACAGTAGGGGAGGACTTTAATAGAATTAAATATGTTTTAATGCAAAATAACATTTGCTTTATTGGAAGTGTGAATAATAATAATTTTTGCGGTGAATTAAAATTGAATTACCCTCAGTTTCTGTCTTCTGTGTTGCATATTTTTACTGACCTTATATCAGTTCTATTTCGATTGAAAAGAGCAATAATGTTTAAGGGCCGTCCATAAATAACTTCACATTTTATTGGCAGATTTTTTTGTATATCTCCTTTTCTCAATCCCACCATTACTAATTTTGTCACACAATTTAAATTTAAAGACCCTCATAATACATCCTCACTAATGTATGCCCCCTCTCCCCATAGAATTAATGGTTGGCACCTTGTTTTTTTGTTTTTTAAAGTGCTACAGGTTAGAATCTATTTCAGCTCTATTTACTGTTTTTAAATTAGAAGTCAAAATTTATATTTGTTATTATTAGATTTTGAAAAATTTCATTTATTTGCAGATGGCTTTAAAAATAAGTTGTCCATCTCAAAAGCCAAAATGCTGTGGTGGTGCTAAGCCAGGGTATTGTTTAAATACCTTATGCCCTAACCATGAGCATAAGGAAATAGTGTTCACCCAACACCCAGATGTAGAAAAGCAATTGCAATTTGAGAGACTCTGCCTTGAAGAAGCCAAAAGGAAGGTGCAGAAACAGGAAAGGTATGAGTTCCTTAAACAAGAAAGAAAACTTGTGGGGATGAAGGAACCTGATGAGGAAGAAATGAACAAAGTGTCCTTATATGCTAACAAAGTTGATATTGATGATACTGAGCAACAAAAACCTAAATCTTGTCCTACTATTGATTTAAGAAAGATTAAGGTAAACAGTTTGAAGTCCATTACTTATCTAAATTAAACCTGTCTATAATAATTTTAAAAAAAATTAGTTTACCTGCTCACATCTAGTCTTAAGTGGCAGGACTGTTTATGAGTAAAGGTTTTATTTAAAATGGCAACCATCTATCAAATCTTTTTTTTTTTAAAAATCTCATTAAATTTAAATAAAAGTTTCATGCAATCTTAGAATTACAACATTTTTACAAGACATAAACAATCAAGAAGTAAAAACAAATATTTTTCACCTGCTTCACAGCATTAAATCAAAGTAAGCATGCATTTAGTATGTTGCATTACTAATTATACTGTACCTAAAAATAATACTTCCATTTAGTGAAAGCTTGGTACCTAGAAAAAAACAAAAACCTAATGAAATAAGAAAATAAAAATTATTTTGAATGTCCACTTATTATTTTGAAACAACAATAACTTTCTTTCCCACTACATATAAATATTAACAAATTTTCCTGAAATAAATTTGTAGGTGCCTTTTAAGACATAGGGTAATTTATATTGATTGATTATACTCCATGGAAAAGATCAAACATGTGCTGGAGGTGGACCAGTTTGCTCTATTATCCTTATTAGTGCCATATTTCAATGTTGCTCCACCCCTTCCCAATATGTCTCCTCTCAATTTCCTTCCTAAGCCCCTCCCCTCATCCCGTTCCCCAACTCCTTTTTTAAACACACCTTTTTTCCTCATCAAACTTACATTTCAAACTCCGCACATTCTCGCCAACGCCCTAACCCTTTTCAACCTATTCCTTGAATTCCTTCTTCCCTTATTTTCCACTTTCTGATGCCCTTTCTTCACCCAATGTATACCCTGTTTTATGAATCCATATATTAAAAATCAGGCACCCAAAAGTAGAAAATTAAAAAGACCAACAAAAATCTGAATTTGCAAAAAAGGAGATAAATAAAAATTACAATTAAATAATTTGCTTTATAATTTATGTTCAAAGTTTTATTTGAAGAATTTATTATAAATCCAATGCCTTAAAGAAAAAACCCAGAAAATTTAAATCTTCTGGATTTATTTCCATGAACACATAAAACCATGAACCAATAGTTGTGGAGTCATTATTGTATAGATATTACATTGTTAAACCTGCCATGAATTTTCTCTATTTCAAGTTTGATACTGAAAATAATAAGTGGATTTTCTCCCTTAATAAGATATTACAAATTTATGACATTTTATTATCAACCTTTTGGATCTGATATGGACCTATCAAAATATATTTTTATTTTGGCCACTTGTTAGACACCTGAAAAGAAAAGCATGAGAATCCCTGCTAGAAAAGCTTGTATGTTAGAGGTACCCCACTACAGTCCACCAGTTGATGACTACAATGATCTTTCTAACTTCTTGCGCATTTCAACTATGCCTGGCTACAGTAACAGCAATACTGTGAGTCAATATCAAGATACCCACAACATGTCTGTGTGGAATAATCGCAAGGATATAGATAGACAAGCATACAAGATGAGGAAAGACTGGCTCTGTAAGTTATTTACTCAATTTATACTGATTTCATAGTCCAAGGGTTATGCACACGTGTTGATCCCACTTCTTCCCAATCATACGGTCTCAGGCTTCTTTCCTTTTTACAAGTTATACTCGTTATTAGTGGTTTAGAAGGAGGTGGTCCACCACAGTAGGCACTTTTTTCTTTATATGGAGGGGTTGCATTTTCTGCTGCCTGCCAAGTCTATTCTGTGAGGGGGGCAGCTAAAGTATTATCGCTCACCAGGTCACACTAACCCTTGCTACGCCACTTTCCTGGCATATATACTAAACATTACACCCTAATTTAGTTTGCCTAATTTGTTTTTAACATTTAACCTACTGTACTACAAGAAATTACATAATTAGACTAACCAAATGAAAGGCTCCAACAAGAACAGATTGAACATGCTACAGTAGTCAGAATATTGAATTAAGAATTATGGAATTGAAAAATTTATAAATCTATTTGGCTATCCGTCAGCTATTTTCAATAATAATTTTGTAACACACCTACTCTGACATGGCGTGGGAGCTTATTTCTTATGCTGTGGGTTATGTCAGTAGTATGGTTACTTATGTTATGTTGATATTTCAGGATGCCGACTAAGGCTTCTTCATTCTTCCACTTATAATCCGGGCACGCAAATAAGAATACTGAATCCTGGTTAAACTTACAGTACTTTATTGAACACACTTTATATTGATAATATTAATATATAATCCTTGCATGAATGTAATTTCACATATATATCTATAGTATTCCATCATTAAGAAAGACACGTCCTCACACTAAACTGTCAACTGTATAATCACACAGCTCTCACGCTACTGACTCTACTGCTCTGCGCTCAGCTCTCTACTATATCAGTCAACTCATACTTTATTACCAGCAAAGCGTGCAAAACAACCGCTCTGACAAAAACATAATTTTACTCTCCAAAAACGTGGAGCTCACATTTGTATCTCAAAATACAATTCATTGTCCTCGTGGTCAAAAACATAATTTTACTCTCCAAAAACGTGGAGCTCACATTTGTATCTCAAAATACAATTCATTGTCCTCGTGGACAAAAACATGGTCAACACCATTCATTGTTCACTCATGCTACCTCTCTGTTTTCATGTGAAAACATTGTCCGTTACAAATTTCATAACTGTTTATTAAGTGCTCCTTTAAAAACATCCCTGCCCAATTAAGTGAAGTTAGAAAAAAAAAGGTATAATTTGAACATTCAACTTATAAAACAAAAGTTTATTAACTAGGTAGTCATACTTATACATTGTACTATATCATATCTCTTGATAGTACCAGTACATTTTTTATTTTTGTAAATCACGGTTTAACACTAAAAACATACATTTTTAAAATGCCTAGGCATTTCTTTGTTCAACTGTCAGAATCAATACCAGTTATTAAAAGCAGCAGAATTAACATTTAAAAACCACTTTATAGTTAAGTTCTACTGGAAACACTGGAATTTTTAAAAACGTTTTGTGGGCAAGATTAATGATATGAAGGGGGCTAAGGGTGCATTGTTTCTTGGCCACCCCTTTACTTGTTGTTTTTTGTTTTCCTTCTTTCTTCAGAGTTCATATCAGTTGGAAATGAAAATGGTCACTGACCAAATTCTATATATTGCATGAAGATCTTAAGCTCCGATTTTTAAAAAAAATCCATATTTTTAAGAGTTCCTTACTTTGAGTTGTGATGTCAGAATTTAGTCACATAAGAAATGTGTTCCTTTCTCTCAATCTCATCTCTATAAATTGTACATTCTCCCTATCATATCCACTTCTTTCCTTTTTAAAAAAATTGTGCTTTCACTAGTTGTGCTTTTCTTTTCAAACATCGGATCAGAAGTCTTACTTTATTGAATTTTATTTTACTTAACCACTTCATTACCGATGACGTCGATGTCATGATCACTCACTTTCAATTACCAAGGACGTCACATCGACGTCATAACAAAAATTTTAGAACTTTTCTGAAATACCGCAGGACGTTACGTCGACATCATATTTCAATGCTATATATTTCCTTATTCTTTAATCTATAGAGAAGTTAAAAAGCGAATCGTATAGAGAATGAAACATACCGAAAATTTCATCTTTTTAGTTTTTTGTTGCTCAGTCAGCAAAAATCTATGCCCAAAAAAAGACCCGCAGTAATGAAGTGGTTAAATGTCCTTTTAAAAAAAATTTAAACCCCTATTTTGTTTTTTTGCAGCTGTTTGGTCAGAATACAATGTGGTAGAGCAACACTGGAGAAAAGACTGGGCTGAAAAATTTTCAGGAACTTCAGCAAAATAAATACTTGCTTTAATTAGTAGCAGAAATGTACCCATAGTTATTGCAGTGACTTTTTAGATGTTTTCTCCATTCATTTACTATTCTGGGGCTCAACTTATTGGAATAAGCTAATGTTTTTGATTATCCAAAGTTGATATATTTTTTAGAAATACTGTTAGTAGTTGAAAATTACATTTTTTGCTAAGAACTTAGAAGTAAAGCCACATTTATTTATCCAATTTTAAAAGACTTACAAATTTTTAACTTTCAAATGATAAAACTTATGAGGCTAATTTCAGGAATGATGTATGCTGCATGGATTTAATTATTAATTTAAAGATGAGTTGAATGATGTGTACATCAGAGATGGTTAGAAGAACACATTTAATTCACTGGTATAATTTATATATAGTTTTGAGGACTTCTAAAAAATGAAATTTAATCTTGATAAAACATTTCCAAATTATATTTGTAATTTTAATTTTGTGATAATAAAGATTATGTTATATAAATATGAGTGATACATATACATAAATATAATGGCTAAAAATAGGAGATTGTTATTGATATGTTTTCCTCAACATCAAGCAATTTAATAACTTTTGTAAACAACACAGCATTAATTACGTCATTTCATATAGAAAAAAATAGAAAAAATACTCACAATAAACAGTATTTTTACATCAGTATTAAAAAATGAAGTGCTATTTTATTGGTAATTTGTTGTTGTTTTTTAACAAATAACTGTAATCTTCAATATTTCTCTTGATATTATTTCAGTATTATTTTCCTTGAATGTTGATATTATTTCATTGTTTTATTTTCAAATATGTACAATTTTTATATCATTTTCTTATTTAAAGTATTTTATATATTTTAAAAATTCATTTCAAATGTTTGCAAAAAGTGTGAAGACTTTATCCAGTTTTACATGATAATATTTTTTTTAAAAATTGTTCTTGTGAAAAGTATTTGATATTGTTAAATGTCCCAAATAGTTTGTTGGAAAAGGAATTAGAAATATCCTTAATTTTTTAAATCAAGTTTCTTATAGATATGGTTCTAACCTCATCAAACTTTGATTTGAACTGAAAATATTTCTTGAATGGATTGGATAAGTAAAATTATATTTACCAAGATTAAGAAGCCGAAAGAAAATATGCATATAATATCAAACATATTCATCATTATTCTGTTTTAATTTTAATTAATTTTTTTAAAAATGCTTTATTAATTTTTTGGTGTTAAAAAAGTTTATATTTTGATTGCTTACAAGGGAATTCTTGAAGCTTACATTAGCAGCTTATATTAGCAGCTTATAAATAAAATTGTTATTTTAGATTTTAGGAAATTATTGGCAGAAAAAAAGTTTGCAACTGGTTTTTCTATTATTATTTTTGATTTCACTTAAAACTATTAAAAGTATTCAATTTCAATCAATTTCATATTTTTTAAAGCAATTTTCAAAAAAAAAAAAATCAGATGGTCAATTGCCCATAATGGAAATTTGTTTAGATATTTTAGCAATGATCAGTTAAATATAGTATGCTTTCCTTATCATAATTCTTAAGTTAGAAAATCAACAGAAATGTAAAAAGAGAATCAATAAAATTGTCAAGTTTAGACTTCTTTATTTTGCTTAGTTATTAGTTAGTCCTAATCATTGCGACTTATTTCATATTGTTTGTGGATGGTGAGAAAAATGTAAGGAGATCCATCAGAACCCATAGATATGTCAGTATTGACAGTAGGGTAGCATTTCCCGAAAATACCTGTGAGTACTGTTAGTTAAAAAAATTCTAAAAAATCTAGCTACTTCTTTTGTTTTGAGGTTTTGTTAATTTTTGCCAACAAAACCCTAAAATAACAATAATTAAAGTTGATTATAGGACTGGCGTGGCAAATGTTTTGTTGTCTCAATAATGTTATGTAAAGGGAAATTTGTGTGGACATTCACATCAGTTTTATGTTTATTAAGGGGCAGAAAAAAGGGTAAACAATTTAGTGTGTCACCAAGGTGAGAACTATAAAAATAAGTGGGCCACAAAAAATAAAGTTTGGCAGACACTGACTTAATGATTAAATAGCTCTCAAATGCTTCTTAACAATGATAAAAACATTTGAGTTTAAGAACTACCGTGTTTTTTTGTTTAAATGCGTAGACATTTAATTAATAACCAAATTGATTTTAGGCTGTTGTTATAAGATGATTGATATACACCAGGAGGAGCATAAGCTTCAGAAAGACATCTTTTCAAAAAACGTTAACAGTGACAGTTGACAACAAAAAGGACCTAAACAATTTATTTCATCATCTCCAGAAAATTAATTTGTAGGAAAAGTCATTTTGTGGTATTTCCGGTGGAAAAAAAATCAACAATAAGGAGAATTAATTTAGTTGAACATGAAAAAACAACAAAAAATGAAACTAAAATTTATATTTCCATTAATTTTAATGCTTGCAGCAAAGTGACCTTTAATCATATACGTCATACTTAAAATGACAGTTTATACAAAAAATAAAAATAGCAACATGACAACTATTTTCATTTTAATTGATTTGATTTTTTTTTTTTTTTAAATCATTTTTCTTTGTACACATAGCAAGGATGGTTAGCTGACATTGTATACTTGACTTGGACTGGGTTGAGTTGTTGGTAAGTTTCATAGAGCTTTTCTGGATGTAAGTGTTTCTCCGCCTGAAACACGAGATTTCAATTAAATAAATATCTTGAATGAATATAAATCAAACAGTCAACAAACCACCACTTTACTTTTACTTACAGGTACCAATAGCTTTAAAGTCCTGTGTGATCATTGTTTTATTTCAAGAGAGAATACTTCAACAATGATTTTCAACTTATTGTTATCCTGAACATGTAATTGTGGCTGGACAACCTTAAAAGACATTTTTTTAAAAAAAGTGGGGTAGGGGTAGCATAAAATAATTAGGGAGATAAGCCTTTGGTCCTGTTAACACGGGTGTTAGGGGCCTTGAGAGCTCGTACAAAAATAAATAGAATGTCACGTACAATGGTTTGACAATGAATCATGGATGGTTTGTCTGGAGTAGGGGGTGTCTTCTTATGAAGTGAAGGGCGTGCTACAAGATTCTTAGTCAATACTGAATAGATCAAACGAACCCCCGAAAAAAAAAGGGATGGGGGCGATCTAAGATTATTTCCCACAATAAAATTCCCCACACCACACCCACATTTCTCAAACAAAAATTCTCCACAAGAAAATTGCGCACACTGAAAACTCCCCACACGGAATATCCCGCACTCAGAAAATTCCACACGCAGATGATTCCACGCACATATTATTTGATGATTCGACACATGAAAAATCTTCAAATTTTTTACATATATTTTTTTTTTGGTTTACCACAAGTGCATCAGGGATATAAAACTCAAAGAAAAATATATTTGCGAACCACATGGCAATGAAAAACATAGGATATTTTATATTTACAAAGATGAAATATCTGACTTTGGAATTTGAACATGTTTTATGTCGATGTTTCAGCAGGCCCAATGCTTTGATTAAGCTCGCGGCGCCCTCTCTCGTTTCATCAATAAATTCTATTCGATGCACCCCACACACGTCACACGTATGGCCAAAGTAAACAGTCATGAAACTACCGCATTTGGAACGCGAACGTGCTTTCGTCGACGGCGCATAGCTCCAGCAGTCACGTGTTCCAAGGATAGAAAAGGAAAGGTATGCGGGGCAGTAGTTTGTTGGACGATTGTGGCGCCCAGGGTCAGGGTGAATGTCCCTTTCGCCCCTCCCCTTCGCACGGCCCTGCCATTGAATAGCAATTTTAAAATTCTCTTTATAAAAAAAAAAATAATTTTTGTTTAAATTAAAAAAATTCAGATAAGGGCAAAGATTCGACTCACGAGTTTTCCATCATTGTTGACAGTGTAGTAGTCCGAGAAAGGAATGAGTCTAACACTTGGAGGTTTGTGTTTGCTTTCCTTTAGACAGGAAGCAAGTGGAATGACATCAATCTGTCTATCTGCCATCTCTGTTAACGTGAGTTCTGTTAGTTTAAATTAAACAAGAAAGAAAAAAAAAACACGTTTAAGATGATATTATTGACCGGCCAAGATATAGAAGCATTAAACCTTTCGATGTTTCAATAATATTGACTGTATTCAGTGCAAGCAGTTCTAATCACATCCCAATACGTTTTTGTGGCATACACATTGTTGGAGCTGGCAAACCCGTGACGTTTTCACGCATTTTATAATTATTATGACGTCAATGAACGAAGATTTTCTTCCAAGTGTTATAATGTGAAGACACAAAAGGTCTAGGCCTACATACTGGATGCTAAATATGAGTCTACATTATATTTGAATCTGAAATAAAAATCCGTTTCATCCTAAATTTTAACAGATGTGGCAGCGATACATTTTAATAATTACAAATTTCTTTCTTTCTAAATTCTTTGAAAATTAACCCTAGGGATTTCAAGGATTTTAATCTCTTTTACTTCTCAAGAGCGCTTTAAAATCACCCCCCCCCCCCAACCCACCCGAAAAACAACACACTCTCCTTCTCTCTTATGATTTAAAAAAGTGAAATCTTTATTTTCACACATGGCCTTGAAAGTCCAAGATCCCATATTTAGCATACACTCGCCTGTGCTAACATCTAAATAAAATACCATAGGTCAGTGGTCCCCAAATGGCTGTCCGTGGACCTTCACCGAACCGCATGCCTAACGCTGACGGTCCCCATAACATAAATATTTATTGTCAAATAGAAATAAAAGTATAAAAATAAATCATGCACCCGGTCCCTGGTAAAATTTCGAAACGTGTTCACCGGTCTGCCAAACTTAAACGTTTGGGAACCACTGTCATAGGTCACACGTAACACGTTTGAACTGGACAATTTAAATTGGATAGATTTTGACACCAGCTTGTGCATAGTTTTTATTCCACAAGAGCCAATTTAAAAAAAAAAAAAATTAAAATGGCAACCACCCCGTCAATCCTCAAATGGCGACCACCAACTATGGAATCTAAACTAAAGAAACAATTCATTATAGTAGGTCGCATCACACTATGTCCATATATTTCAAAGAACATCCAGTTGTTTCCCTTAAAGTGCGTCCATGTCTAAAAGAACATCCAGTTGTTTCCCCTTATAATGGCTGATAGAAGTCGCGTGTCGCCATTTCATGTTTATTGTTTGTTATAATTTAATAAAAGCTGTGGCAAAAAAAAAATAATAATATAAAAAAAAAAAAAAAAAACTTTCTCATGTTAACTTGAGATAAAATAATATAAATTAAAACATTCTTTTTCATTTGAATAACCAAATTTGTTTATTTTTTTTACTATAAATATAAGGTATTTAACAATTTTGTGATGATAAGTGTGCGATTTTAAGAGTTTGAGGGTAAACAGGTCTGTTGTAGGCATAAGAAAAACTTTCTCATGTTAACTTGAGATAAAATAATATAAATTCAAACATTCTTTTTCATTTGAATAACCAAATGAGATATTTAATTTGTATTCCCAAATTTTTATATATCATTGAGTAACACCAGTCAGTGTTCTCTCTGTACAATCACACACAAGAAAATGATCGCACCTTATTTGAATGGAAGAGCACTGCAAAAACAACAAAAAAAAAACAACAACAACAAAAAATGCAACAACTCACTTAAGTGTAAGGCAGATAAGGTACTCTGAGTACACTACTCGGACTTTTGCGACCGGTAAGTTAACCAAACAAAAGGGAAAGACGTCATTAGTTTTGGCTTAGGTTGGAAGTTATATGAGATACGATAAGGTCTTTGCCTAAGTGGTCGTAAGGAGGGGAATTTTTTTTTTTTTTATAATTACATTGTACATATTCATTTGCATCCCATAAATAAATACATATTTAAACCAAGGGCAACTTTGTACAATTATATTAATGATAACAATTAATAAAACACAAGAAATCTAAAGCATATCTTTAACTTAGAAATCAGCACTCAATGAACTCTTTTATCGGCAATAATGACTCAATTAGTGATCATTTAGATTTGGTATCCGCTGACATTATAATAAATTTATGTTCCATGGAATTAGGCTACACAATGGAGACTAGAGAAATCTGAGCGGTTTCCATGTATGTTTCAATAGTTTAAAAATTGTAAAATCCCTGCTTCATTAGAAGTTAGTTCATGGGTGCTAGCATGGGCGCCCGCAGAAAACTTTCTAGGGGGGGGGGCAAAAAAATTGATTAACTTTCCAGGGGGGGGGGCAACAAATTTTTAGTAAGGTTTTAATTTAGTTTTAATTTACTGTAGCGTATTTGTATGGTGAACGAACGGACAGGACATCAGTTTAGTTACTTTTTCTTTATTTTCTATTTACTTTAATATTTTTTTGGGCAAAAAAATTGATTAACTTTCCAGGGGGGGGGGCAACAAATTTTTAGTAATGTTTTAATATAGTTTTAATTTACTGTAGCGTATTTGTATGGTGAACGAACGGACAGGACATCAGTTTAGTTACTTTTTCTTTATTTTCTATTTACTTTAATAATTTTTTTGTCTAAAATTTTTTTATCCAATCAATCCAGGGGGGGGGGGGCAAGTGCCCCCTTGCCCCTACCTGCGGACGCCCAAGGGTGCTAGTCACAACCTCAAAGTAGGACTTTGGTTAAGAATATTAAGATTAAGTTTAGTTCACCAACTGTCTGGATTTACTCTACTGATCCAGTTTTTTAAACCAATTGGAGATGATGTGTAGACCGTGCATGGAGACGACATTTCATGGATCGGTCTGAGTGGATGGGGTGAAGCAGGCCAGAACCTTCCATGGTGACGTAGCTAGGGCTAGTGCCACCCGGGGCGAGGGTCAACTTTTATGCTGCCACACCCCCTTCCATGAAATAACAAAAACAACTCCGTAATTCATTGGGCCGGAAATGACGCACCTCCATTAAAATTTTTTAAAAAATTGTTGACAGGGGAGGGTGGGAGTCAACCCCCTTCCTATGCCACTGGAGCCAGTTATGATGATAGTGTTCAAACCAATTCAGCGGCCTAATGGATTAGAATCTGTCCATCTGGATAAGTTCGTTAAAAGTTCACATTATAATTCCAATATAGCAAAATACTAGTATTAAAAAAGAAAGACTATGATTATGAACAATGTAATTTTAATATTTAATATAGTAGAGTTGTCACTTCAATAACAACGTATTGTAACTCAACACAAAACCCTTTTCATTAATACATAAATGGCGGTAAAATAAGGAGGACTTTTCGGTGAAACGATGCAATCTGGCATACTCCGCCCGATTAATTTCAAAGATGTAACACTGTATTACCAATGTATTAACCTAATGAAAACTTCGACAGCCCCCGAGACTCCTGCCTCGCTGTATCATTCATACTTGGTGTTCCCTTGGGTTCACCAGATGCATACAGAGTGGTGAACTGCTGTCTGGGGTAACGGCTTGCCCACCTAAAGAAAAATCCCAGGCCTTGTGATTTCGTCCTACGAAGTCTACACCATCGTCACACTGTGGCGTCTACACCATCGTCACACTGTGACGTCTACACCATCGTCACACTGTGGCGTCTACACCATCGTCACTTTATGACCCGACGGGTGACAAAAATATATAAAAAAATAGAGAGGTACACCTCCGGTATGAGGACAAATTAAAGTAAGGTATCCGAGAAAAAACTCATAGTTCATATTCCACAAGTAATAATACACAGACAGATTTCACAATAGGCAGATTGATGCCACAACGACTAAATATTTGTATTACATTTTATCCGAATTCAAATATATTTTATTAGTGCATGTGCTCGAATCAACTCCATACAGTGGCGTAGCGAGTGTGTTTGGCGCCCGGGGACAAGATCCATTTTTAGCGCCCCTTTTTCTTTTTTTCAACTCTCAAACCCATTATTTTCATCAATGAAATATTATCATAGCACATTTTGGCGCCCCTAACTAGCTGGCGCCCGGGGACATCTGTCCCCCCCTGCCCCCACCACGCTACGCCTCTGACTCCGTACCAAATATTCTCGGCCTTGTCTTAGAAGCTTTACGTAACTCATGGTGACGCCATGTTTCCAGACATGTCGCCCGAAGTGTACGATCAGCAGTGTGATAAATTAATAGAGGGTATTCAAAAGGAAAAAATAAATAAATAAAAAATAAATACATTTAAAGGGGATCTTAATAATTACTTTATGTCCTTAGCAAAAAAGATCATGCAGCCCAACCCCCCTTCCCCATATGTTCCCGGAAATTCTTCCCTTAACTCTAACAGGCACAACGATTCACATAGGTAAATTCACGCAGATGCTTGTGCAACCTCTTTGGTGGAAGAAGGGCAACTTCTTAGGTGAAGGGTGACCTATTGGGTGTAAGGGCAACCTAGCTGGTGGAAGAGCAACCTCTTTGGTGGAAGGGCAACCTCTTAGGTGGAAGGACAACCTCATAGGTGGCAGGGCAAACTCTTTGGTGGAAGAGCAACCTCTTAGGTGGAAGAATAACCTCTTAGGTGGAAGGGTAACTTTTTTGACTGAGACTCGATGAGAGTTACTTTGTAACATTTGGGTAACTGTTTTGTTGTTGCCTTTTTAGGTCGGACAATATTTTGTTAATAGGAAGTGTAACTGTTTTTGTCTTGTGGAGTAATAATTATACCTTTTTTTGTGAAGAGTTATGATAATAAAAAAAAGACATCGCCTTTAAACTATGTTTTGCATTTAAAATGTGTTGCTATATTCAAAAATAATGACGCTAGCAAATTCAATACACGTTGATCTGACTTAATTCGTTCTATCAAGGTGTTTAACTTAACATGACACACCTCGTCCCATCGAAGTGTTTGACCTGACACACCTTGTCCCATCGAAGTGTTGGGCAACAAAGCAACTGAAACCTGACAAAACTTGGTCTATCACTGAAATTATTTTCGAACGCTTCACGCATAATTTAGCTTTAATTAAGTTTGCTACACAATTTTAACAGACACACAACCAGTATATATCTCTTTATTCCACTTCTTGATTGGGGGCGGCTGAAGTCGAAGACAGTTTCGGAGCCAGCGTCGGTACGGCCAACAGAGACGAGCGGATTTTTTCTGGCGGGGGCACCAATGGCGGGAATGACATTTGCCGATCGATGATAGCTTGCTCCCTCTGCTTGTGCTTTTGCCTCAACTTCTCGAAGATTTCTCGTTCTTTGTTTAGCCTGTCCATCCGCTCCCGCTGGGCAAGCTTCTTCTTCACATTGGCCATAGCATTGAAGTCTTCCATTTCATTACCTGTGTGATAGAGTTAAGAAAAATCATAAGGGTGGTCGGAGCTCAACTCTAGAAATACCAAAACATCGGCGGAGCTCAACTCTAGTAATACCAATAATTAAGTGTCGTCCAAACTGTAGCCCCCCCCCAAAAAAAAAAATATCAGCTTAGATCCACCCCCTGCTTCTCCCCCCCCCCCCCCCCCNAGAGTTTCTTTCGTGAAAGGGATCGTTTAAAAATCTTGGCCAGCACCGGATGGCACTAACCCCAGCTGCGACACTTTTAGGGCCCCCATCTCATCAACGCTCTTTACACCCCCCCCCCCACAAAAAATAAATAAATAAATAATATATATTTAAAAAAATCCAATCTCTATAACAAAACTCAACATCACGTCAAACACATTTGCCTTTAAGCTCAACTCCCACTATTAGTCTTTACTATTCCCATGATGAGACTAGTACGCCAAGATCTGCTGGCGCTCTATTGGACAATACCAAGTAAATTAAGAAGCAAACCAGTGTCATTGCGTGCGTCGTGACTTTGCGTTTTGAAATCCATATTTTTATATCAGAGACCAGGTACCGTTTTGCTGTGTAATAGATATTTATAGTATGAGACTTTTTGAGTTGGGTGTGCTGAAATGTTGCAAATATGTATGCAGCTTAATTTAAACAATTAGTCTATCCCCTACCCAATTGTTCCACAATCCTATTCAAATGCATGACGAATAGAAAATATTATTTAAAGATTTTTTAATGAACTTACGGAACCAATCTCTTTTGTGAACCTTGCAATTGGCCGGAACTGGGCCACCCAGCCTCACCGGACGAGGGTCGTGAAAACGCCAGTTAGTGTCTGGCAAACACGGGTCCCCCTGAGCGTGGTGGGGATCTCTGGTTATAGTCCCCAGTGGTTTAATATCTTTCGGAGCTAGGAGGACAGGCATAAAGTTAACTAATGCGAGCCATCTAAGTTATGCGCACCTATACACGACAAGTTATAAGTGCCTACACACAACACATGATACGCACCTACACACAAGTGATACGCACCTGCACACAAGTGATACGCACATACACACAACAATTGATACCCACCTACACACAAGTGATACGCACCTACACACAAGTGATACGCACCTACACACAAGTGATACCCACCTACACACAAGTGATACGCACCTGCACACACCAATTGATACGCGCCTACACACGAGTGATACGCACCTACACACAACAATTGATACGCACCCACACACAACAATTGATTCGCACCTACACACAACACGTGATACGCACCTACACACAACAATTGATACGCACCTACACACAACAATTGATTCGCACCTACACACAACAAGTGATACGCACCTGCACACAACTGATACATACCTACACTACTTTTCTTGCAGCAGAAGTACTTGCATTCATCCAGCTCTTTAGTGTCACGCTGCTGGTTGTCCGGGTGATCACATATTTCACACATCACTCGGTAATTTCTAAGGGAGCAGATTAATGTTAGATGGCAATAGATTATTTCTAAAGCTCCCTACAGAGATACTTAATAATACCAACATTTCATGTAATACAGCAGAGGGTGTGTGCTTCTCGAAGTGATGGACTGGCACTTGCACACTGGTACTCAATGGCTGGCCCCAAAAAGGTGAACAGCCAAAGAAGATCGAATTAAAAAAAAAAAAAAATATTTAGCAATTTATACAATCTTCGATTTTTTGAGATTATGACAGATGAAATATTTTTGTGATTAATTCAAGTGATGTCAGTGAAGTATTTCTTCTCGTTTGTAGTTTCAGAAATGGATAAGATTTAACTTAACAGTAAAAGTGATTTTTTTGTTTAAAAATATGTTTTTTCGAAGAGCAATTATTATAATTAGGTGCCTTGTGAAAACCTGAAATCGGCTAAGGCATCGTGATTCGAACGTTTGAGAACCTGTGGAATATAATATAAATCAATAAATGATGAAAATTTTGTCTTGATAATCAATGTGAATTTTGTCTTAATTCCTACTGTACATTTAGGAAAGTAAAATTCTGTTTGTCCTTTAAACAAAAAATACCTGAAAACAGTTGTGTTTTTTGATGGACATGAGCCGGCATAGATGTTAGACCCATGGCCAGGGAATGAACATTGTCTCACTGGGTACCAGCCGTTGTAGAATTTATCTGGAGGTCGCCAACTCTGTATCTGTAACAGAACATATGTACAAATCAAGCGTACTTTTAGTAGAAGTCTTTCATATATCAAATTTATTACGTTTTCCTACTCTTAGTCTTAAGTGCAAAACTATTTTGCTTTTCTTTCTTTCCTCCCCCCCCAACCCCCGCCCCCACCACACGGGTGGCCGATTGAGTGGATCAGTGATGACCACATGACGTCACACAATCTAACACTGACCAATGAGAGGTCCATCGAGAGTCTAAGCCAGGGATGTCACGTTTGATCCAGGTAGTCAATATGGCACAGCTTCAATTTTGCACGACACTGGTCGGATGTCACATAAACGCTGCATAATAACAGATGACATGTATACATATACAAAACGCCGAGTGCAACAGTTATAAACTGAATGGTACCAGATACCAAATCTTTAATATGTTGCTTCTTGGAAATATCACCTCTACTGAACCAAATGAAGTCAAATTTGAATAATTGTACACTCCCAGCATTCCCCCGCCCCCCACCGATCACATGCATGTCATGAAAATAAAAATAGTTTAGCATCAAGAACCCCAGCTGCTTTATATATGTTGCTTCTTGGAAATATCACCTCTACTGAACCAAATGAAGTCAAATTTGAATAATTGTACACTCCCAGCATTCCCCCCCCCCCCACCGATCACATGCATGTCATGAAAATAAAAATAGTTTAGCATCAAGAACCCCAGCTGCTTTACCCCCACGTTTGGATCTGCGGTATAACATGAACATTTACATCGACCTCATACCGACCGTGTCTGAAACTTACCAGATTTCCCGAACAAACAGCCTGACGGTCTGTGGAAGCATTTTGGAAAGATTCCCTGTTAGTCGCATTCGGATCCAGCATTTCTAGCTAGAAATCATTTGCGTAGATGGCGTTAGTTTTGTGGGCAGTGCTCAAAGTAATCTTGGTAGGATGCCTTCTGCCTTACTTGAGGTGTTCGTTGAATGAGATGAAATTAATGCTAAACTCACTGTACCCAATGATGGGGCTATTTTTTTTACTGATTTTCTATAGTACTTGATACTTACAAGTTATTTTATTAACAATATTTGATCATAATTTGATGTTGCTCACAAATTAGTTTGTATAGACTCTATTTTAAATCAAAAGCCAACTTATATGCAGGCGATATTTTTATTTTGTACAATGTATTCAAATGATATTAGAGCAGATGTAACTACGACGAAGGCGATGGTAAAGCGGAAATGGAGCACTTCTCTCATTGGTGAGTGACGCGTTATTCTTTTTAAAATGCGTTTGACGTCATAGAAAAGGCAAACAAAGGCTATTCGGCGAATAATGCTTTAATGACAAGAATGAATGATATGAATTAAATTTGAGTTCTTGTTTATTACTTGATGGTTGTGATGACCAATGTTCCCACTAAGTCACTAAGGTTTGTTGGTTCGTGTGCAAAATCATACAATTGTGTGCAAAGTTTTCTAGCATCAATTTTTTTATGTGCAAAATTTTACAGCCCACAAACACAAACACTCACTTACATGGAAATTTGCTGCGCGTTACTCTAAACTGCTGCGCGGCGTCTGTGAGATAGTTGCGCGGCCGCGCAGCTTAAAGAGAACATTGGTGATGACACTGTTGGTTTTTTTTTTAAAGTTGAGGGGGGGGGGGGGAGGGGAGATAAGTATAGAGAAAGGGTGGATGGAGAAGCAAGGGAAGGCGAGAGAGTGTGAGAGAGATTGACATTCGAACAGACTGTCAGCTGGAAGTAGCCATAAATATGAAGAGTATATAGGCCCTAAATGTAACTTAACTGAACGTTGCAATAATCTGTCTTCATGTGAGCTTACCATCTTGTCTGACGTGGTGTCTTGGACCGCAGGAAGCTTGCAAATTGCGTCACCTTGTTATTAATAAAAACAACAACTTGTAGAGAGCTTTTTCTTCTCAATGTCGGAGACCGAAATGTCAAATCCTATCGTAAACAGGAGCAAGGGGCACATGTTAGCACGACAGAGAACCCGCTGAGTATTCTTCCTTCCAAGCAAGAAGAAAATATTTCTGGTGGGAAAAGGTCCGGCAAATTAGTTTAAGTACAACGCACATGTCATGTCACGTGGGAGTCACGCCAAACCCGCTGTCTCCTAACTAGTAGGAGGGCAAGAATGCTCTATTTCTTTTTTTAAATCCTCCCCCACACTGTAAAGCAATAACGTTGGCAACTCATAAAGGCATACGGATGTAAGACGGTATGATATTCCTACTTATATTGGATTAAGAAGACTTTTAAGTTTTCTGTAAACTATCGCTGGTTAATCCGCGACTGTGCGTTGATATTGGGTCAGCGCCTGAGGCCAATCACAGCGCAGCTGATGAACTAAGAGCCAGCAGGCTTTAAAAAAAACAAAAAAAAAACGACTGCCTAACCGACGGTTACCCAACGAAAAGTGCAGCAGAGAATATCATTACTGGGTGGGACTCTTAGGACACTCGTGAAGGTGCAGATAGGAAGCTATACGCCATCGTCCCCAGACGCGTAGAGAGAAGGGGGGCAGGGGGCAGATGTCCCCGGGCGCCAGCTAGTTAGGGGCGCCAAAATGTGCTTTGATATTATTTTATTAATGAAAATAATGGGTTTGAGAGTTTAAAAAATGAAAAAGGGGCGCTTTAAAATGTATCTTGTCCCCGGGCGCGAATATTGTCCCCGGGCGCCAAACAACCTCACTACGCCTCAGAATCTAAATCAGATACCAAGAGCGTCCTCCGTGCGTTTTAGGCTTTATCATAAATGTTGAACGATTTTGTTCACTTGTTACAGTATAACTTATATTGTTAACATTAACATGTTTAGGAAAATATGATCTAGCACCGAGGCGGGTAAACCTATGGTAAACCGACACACGTGGCGAATGTACCATTAACTATGCTATTAATGGGCAACCATGGAATATCGCCGCCCCCCTCCCCCCAAAACGGAGTACTGTTGGGACAACACGTTTGTAAAACACCGTTTTAGATCCACTATATTTATATATAGTCAATATGCCTAAGTTTTCTGAATGTGTTTTCTGATTTTGAGACTATGAGTCTTCGGCCACAAACCACAAATAAACTTTCTAATTTTAAATTTTATTTTTTATTCTATAATTAAAATTAATGATGTAGTCTTCTTATTAAAAGAAAACAAATTACTAATTAAATTTTTAAAGTATATATTGTCAGCGGTTTAGTCGCATTTTGTATTAATTTGTCACTTAGGATTCGAAGACGATATTTTTGTCCAGACCAGTGACCGGAAATTAATGTAGCCTGGTTACTAGACGCTTGTACCTATCGTTTCTGAAAATGTCACAGGATTGAAATATCTTCGGTTAAAAGGAATAAAGTAAAACGCGAGACATGTTTCATTGGTTTTTTACAATAGTTTATTATTGGTTACACTATTTTTACTTTTTACCTTATTTATAGAAGTTATATGAATGTATTTATTAGAAAACAACCTCAGTAGAGATAGAAAGATAGATACTTAAGTAAGTGTATAATTATAATATTATTAATATATCAGATTATCACAGTGTCATAGTCAGTCATAGATCACATAGTTTAGATATATCGGGGACTGCGTTCAAGCCATATGATTTATGAAGTAAATATATAGTGTAAGAAGACAAAACAATAGGCAACAGAAAAATCTATATGTAAAAAAAGAAAACTTACATTTTTGAAGATCTAAATGTAGCTCAAAGTTCAAAACAGTAACAGGCTACATTGACATTATTCAGATTGTTGTTTATTATTGTATTGTGCTGAAGAAGGCATGGAGCCAAAACTTCAGTTTAATTGTTGTGTCTATTATTCAAGCCTAAAATATCTTGTTACAGTTATGTATATAACAGCCAAGTTAATATAATGATTACATTATTTAAATCATTATGGTTTTGGTAGGGTAAGCTGGTGAATCCATGTACTGGCATATGTGCAACGGTTGGGGATGCAATGCTGGTATTTTAACGGCTCCTAGCGGATGCTTGGGCAGTTTTGAAGCTCTCAATTGATGTTGACGGCGGTATTGTCCAGGTGGTTCCAAGCGATGATTGTGCGTGGGAAAATTATTTTTTATATTGGACTGTGTTACACTGAGGCACAGTGAAGCATTAAAATTTACTATTGTTCCAGATGTAATTGATTATGGGTTTCTTAGAAGTGAAGTCAGTGTTTAGTGAGTGTTTGGCTCTGATTAAGTGACCTGGCTTCTGTGGGATGAGATAATATGTGTTTGCTGGGATTGTTGCTATCCTTTATTAGTAATAGCCAATCTAAATTTTTTCAAAAGTAGTTTAAAATGGCTTTGTCATTGTTTTTGCCTTTGTCTGATTTGATGAAAAAAATTAATGCTTGTATAAATTGAATTATTTTTTCTTTAACTTCCATTTAAAGTAATTAATTCTTTTTTTATCAACCATTTGTTTTTTAAACCACAATTTCCTACCACTTAATTCCCTTTTCACATTGGGCAGCTTAGGAACTTAACAATTTTACAACAAAGTGTGACATGGATTGAGAAATAAATGTGATGCAACACTATTGCTCATGTTAAAGTATTTTTTTTTTAAAATTTGAAAACCTTATTTGACTCATCATATCTGTTCCTGAGAGTGAAGGTGTATAATTAAATAAATACTGAAATGGATAAAAATATAAATAATCAATTTTTTACATGAAATACAGAAATTAGAATAATATTTAAGCTATAGGAAAAATGTATAAGGAAATGAGCTTATAAGGTGTGTTTTCTGTCTTAAAAAAAAAAATTTCAGAAAGTATTGCAATTACTAAATTAATATTGTAACTATGCCTACAGTTGGCCGATGATACAGATAATTTAAATGGGAGTACTATTTTGGCTCTAATGGGACAAACTTATACAGAGGTTCCACTGTACTTTTAGATTTACTAAAGCAAATTCAGTGTATAAAAGAAAATTATGATAAGGAGATTATGAAATTTGTGAAGTCACACATAATTTTTGTGATGTTGGCTGTAGGCAGAGTCAGAAAATTGTGTTTGAAATCAAATGTGAGCCACTCCACCATATTTATCAACTACCACTATTAACATTGTAAAAGAGATTACTTACAATTTAAAAAAAAATTATTTTGTATACAACATACTACCTGCATTATTCAAATTCTAAACTATTTTCTTAAGCTCTGGCTTAGCTTCATTTCCCATGGACCAAACAGTTGTGACAAAGGTTTTGACTCACGATGCAATTAACTTGGAGAGTCAAGATAACGATAAGAAGCCAAAAAGCCCTTTACTTTTAGCATTGCCAAGAAGTAAAGCTTATCCCAAGCAAACCCTTTTTGGGACTGTCCTTGAAAAAGTAGACAGAGACAGCTTAAAAAACTTTGAAGGAAAATACATTCCAGAAGGGTACATCAGACCAACACAGGAAAGATTTCCTTTACCAAAACATTTACAAGATGCTCTTCCAGGTTTTGTAATGCTTTTAAATGCATCTAATGTAATCTTAACAATTAATTAATTTCAAAGCCTAAATTTAACGTATGCCACTGTATGTGATTGAGAAGTGAATGTTTATTGGGAACTGGTAACTAAATCTATATAAATTATAAATACAAAATTAACTATTTTTTTAAAACAAAGAGCTATGTTTTTTGAGATTTTTGTAATGTTTCACAGTAAGGTTCATAATGAGCAATTCTAATAAATTAATTTGAAAACTAATTATTACATTAGTCTAGTGACTTGCTTCAGAGTTGGTGGTTAAGAACAATAGACAATAGCATGCTAAACTTTTTTTGAAATAAACATTCATTGATTCATAGAAAACTGTCTATATCTGGTCACAGATATTAGATTATAAAAAATACAATTTTGTGTAAAATGTAAACATTCCCCCAAATTTTCAAAATCATTTTAGGTGAAAAGTTTAAGACATGCTGATTTTGATGGTCTGATGTATAACTTCAATCTAATGATAGTAAAAAAATCAATATAATAATATTCATTTCAATATCTACTTTTAAATGACAATATCCAGTTGTTATTGTTATAAACAATATGAGGCCTAAATGTATTTTATATAGTGAATTCTATTTTCATAATAAATTTATTTAAAGAATCTATATTTCAAAAATAAAAAGTTTCATTTTTTGCAGTTAAAACAGGTTCATTTTTATTAACAATACTTTTTAAAAATTATTTTTTTTAGGAAAGGAAAAATTAGATATTTCACGGAAAGAAATAGTAAAACAACGTCAACTGTTGGCTGATGTGAATGAACAGCTAAGAGCTAAAACAGAAAATGCTTTGACATTTAAGCAAAACTTAACATCACAAGAGGCCACATCTCTTGTTTTGCCAGAGAGGCCATCTTGGTTCTCAGAAAAGGATTTGCACCATTCAAAAGAAATAAATAGTGTGGGCCTCAATGGAAAGGGAAGCTTTAATAGAGACAGATATGGTAGTAAACCAGTGACACATACTTATGCTTTAATTGGGAATCCATTAGCTCTGAATATGGATTTCAAAGGGTACACTGAAAGGCATGATATTCAAGATGCCTACAAAATCAAGCCGACTCAATGGGGCACAGGTAGACATTTGCCGTATGACTTAATGATGCAAGCCAATGCCTCAGGTAATCCTCACCCCCAAAGTATTATAGACTTACCCCCTAACATTCGACATAAATTTAGAAGCAGAGAGTGCGACCTTCTCTTGAGTGATGAAAATCTTGTTAGGGTGTCTCTTGAAAAACAAAAGTTGAGCTCTGGTCCAGTACGACCATCTAAAAAAGAGAATGTCCAGAGCTTACCTGTTGACTTAGAAGGAAATTATGAAGGTCTGGGCCATATGACCAGATACAACGTTTGCCCAGGTGTTACGGCCGACCATAAAATCAGCAATACAAAGCAGGATTTCAATGATTTAGTTCACCTTAGACGTGTTCCAAACACAGATGAATTCCGCTACCAGAGAGATGAACTAAGTAAGTTACAAGTATTTTTTTCAGAACTCTATAACCATTGGTTAATTGTCAGATGACCTTAGTTATCTACAGCATTAGCTTAATATTTAACAGGGTATCATTTTTTGTGTGTGGCTATGTAAATAAATAAGTTGTAACTTAATTTAAATAAATAATTTCTCGAAGAACTATATATACCATAGTTAAAAATAATTTTTGATAATTTTTATTTATTTTCCAGGCACTTGGGCAGAACATAATGTGTTACGAGACAGAATGAAGAAAGCATGGAATGACAAGTATCCTTTAGGTGGCAAGACTTAATATTTATCTGGTGTGACTTAAAAATCAGTGGACTGGTTCATATGGTGAATTAATTGTCACACAATTCCCAGCCTCTGCTCACCATTTGCAAAAACTTTTGCAGGTATAATAAAGTAAAAATAATTGTCTACTTGTATGAAGCTGTAAAAATGTATGCTCTATTCTTTGTGCAGTTTATTATTTACTTTTTTCATTATCTCAAGAGCTTTTATTTGTATATAGTCTATCATAATTGTTTATATAGTAGAGCATTTTCTTTGAATCTTGCAATTAAAAATATATAAATTCAGGCCTCTATACTCAATAAGAATTAGTTTTACTGGATGTGATGAATTTAAAGGGATATAATCCATGGGTTGATTTTTACATTAATTTTGTGTTATAAATAGTATCATGCATTTTCCTCACTAAAATGTGATATTTATTAAAGTTTTATTTGAAGTCACAAAAATAAAGATTTTGAATTATATTTATTTATAAAAATTACTTGCATGGAAGAAAAAAATGATCTTAAAAAAAATTGCTGCCCTTGTACAACATGTTGCAATGTTTATTATAAAAGATTTATGTTAACTGTTTAACAATTTCATACAATTCTAAATAATTTCTGCATGAACAAACAAAAAAAATAAAATTGTATTATTTTTTGCTCACTCCATTTTTTAATGCGAAAAACATAAAAATCCCCATGAGTGTTTTATCTGTAACAAGGTGAAGTTAAAATGCAAAATGTTTTATCATGGGCAATCACAATCATTTATCTTTAAATACGTTTGTTCTTCAAGGTTTCTTTGACTTCACAAATCACACAGATTTCAGTCCATAAAACTCTTGTTTCACACAATTAATTTTTCAAAGTTCTTTAAGGTTATTTAAAAAAAAAATAAACCCCTACAGTCACACTGATACCAAATACTAAAAATAATTTAAGTATTAGCAAAGCATTTGGAACATTTTTCTCAGAGCAACAAAAAGTTACATTCTTTATAAATGTAAAAAAATATAAAAATATAAAAAATGCAGGTTATGAACATTTTTTGATTAAAATCATCAAATATTATAAAGTTATTCAGTATGGCAATTCAATTTTTCTAATTCTTATTGCAGCAGACAAAGATACAAATTAATTATTGAGAGGTAGGAACAACATTCAAAAGTATTGAATCTGTTGACATTAATTGAATCTGATTAAGTTGTAATGTAAATCGAAAAATGACTCGGTTTCAACTGTCATAAAATGACAAAAATTTGAGACTAAAGACATTTAATAGACAACAAGGCCCACTTCACCTCCATCCACACAGTGTTTATTAAACAATCTTTCAACGATTGATTAAATTAAATCTAAATTTGTTGCAAGGATTGGTGGTGACAAAGTAAGAAACTCTGGTTAAGAATGGTGGAAAACCCCATGGAATGGAATTACCTGTGTTAAAAATTGTTTATATGACTGGTACAATTTGAATGCAAGCCTTTTTGAAAATACATAAATAAATACATAAAAGTGGACCAAAAAAAAAAAATAACACCTCAAATTTTTGCCAAATCCAATCAAGTCAGGTAAAAGTGCATCATCACAAGGTTTAATCACAAATTAGTGGAACGAAAACAGTTTCATAACAGTGACAGATCATTGAAAAGAGTTGCTTACCTTTTTACTGCCTAGTATCAGTTGTAGAAGAGAAATAAAGTTTTATTAAACAAAAAAAATTGTCACTCTTATTTGAACAAACTGAGCTCTACCGTTACTGCATTTCTTTTGATTGTATCAGGTATACTTATTTGTCTGTTTAATTAGTCTAGCCCAGGGGTCGGGAAATTCTCATGGCAAGGAGCCAAATACTAAATTTTGATCTAGCAACTAGTAGTATCCAAGAACTACAAGAGAAAGATCAAAGCAACTCGGGAGTCGGTAGGTTCCTATCCCCTGGTCTCGCCAGTAAAAAAATGAAGAGAGTAATGCGTGAACATAAAAAAAATATATAAAATACTGAAGTTAAAAATTATGGCTGTCCAGAATGAGAGTGACTTGTGTACCATCTAATAGTGCATATATTAAAATTTTGATAAAAAATATCACATATCTTTAAAGAATTTTCTCTGATTCAAAACAGGAGAATTTAATAATTAAAAAAGGTAAAAAAACAACAACTTCTCACTACATTTGAACAACTGAATAGATTGTAGGCTTCCTGGTGGAGCCATTAACTGTGAACTCTCTTGTTACTCCAACAAATGGAGTCTTTTTGCCAGTGATACTTTTTGATGTCCCAAAGTGGCACATTCGATAAGTACCAGACTGCTGCACAACGGGAATATCCCAAGTTATGGTAACCTCACTGTGGCCCAAAATCAAACTTTTCAGTTCCCATTTAAACCTGTTGATTTAAAAAATTAAAATATGTTAAATTAATTAACTCAAAGAAAATTTTTATAAATAAGCAACAAGTATTATTAATGATACATTTAGACATAGAAAATATCATTACAAATTAACCGGTTCTGAAGTAGCAGATTACCTTGTCTCCCAACAAGAGTCTGTGTATTGTACAACCCAGATACCTTCATTGTTCTTTCTCTCAACAGTTAGAAAAGTTTCACCGGTCTGAAATGAAGGAATGAAATAATGTTAATTGATGCTGATAATATTAACATAATGAGCAGAAAGTGTTTAAACTTCACTCAGGCAAATCATGCAGGCTACACAAAGAAATATGAAAATTACTATAAAGATGAATGAAGTTGCATGATTTTGCAAAACTAAATAGGCCTACAGACAATCATGAGGTGTAAATTGGTGAGGTAAAGAATAAGCAATTTTAAAAAATATAAGTAAAAGTAACCTAACTAGATGGAATACAATTGATGAGGTTCGAATAAGCTATTTTAAAAAATCTTAACCAAATAAATTTCAATTTTGAATACAACATAAATGAATAACAAAATGATTTGGGTGATAGACAGTAACCAAAAAATTACCTTGAGGTCGTTTCTTGGATTTGCACTTACAAATGTAACTGTGACCCTTGAACCCTGGATAAATTATATAAAATTTTGTATTGCGAAACGAATTCATAGGCTAAAGTGTTGGAGACATGGTGTCTAATAAATACAATTTCAGATTAAATGTAGAACATGAAAGAGATTTTTTTCTTCCTGCACTTCAAGAAGCATTTGCCCTGATTTAAATGAATTATATAAGAAGCTCAAAGTAAGCCAAATATAAATGACAAAGAACCTTTGGAGTAAAGGAGCCTTGCTCATCTTTACCAATACTTTTACTGAAACAAAAAAGTCAAATCAAATAATCCTTTAACTTGGCACCAAATCATACAAATTGGAACTAATGGTGGTCTTCCTGTCTTACCAACTGTCAGGTGCATTTGATGATAGATTTTTTGTTGTTGCTGTTTCATAACTTGATTTATAGGTGGATGAATTCAGTGGATTGTACTGTGCACGGTGACTTGATGCATGCTCAATAGTTATTGAGTTACCCAAGAGTCATTTAAATTACTTGCCAGTTATTCAGACTGAGCATCCCTAATAAAGTTTTAAAAAATTTGAAATACCAGAAGATAAGCAGAGCCAATCATACCAATTACCTGAACATATGAAAACTGTGCATTCCTTACAACAGTTCCAAAAATTTGAATTACCAGAGGATATGCAGAGCCAAACATGAATTACCGTTAGGAGTAACAGAGCCAAACATATGAATTACCTGAGCATATGAAGACTGAGCATCAGTTATAACAGAACCAAACTTTTTCCCAGCCGGGGCCGAGTCAAATATAACGCCAGGTATAAAAGAGATTTGCTTGTCCAGTTGGTTGGGTGGTGATGGCCCAGGGGGAGATGGCTTGCCCTGTAATGTATTCAAAATTCATAATAAATGACCTCACACCTCAGAGCTGCGGTTGCTTACATAAGATGTAAGGTGTTCTGGTAAGCTGAAAACCTGCCTCAAAAAACATTCTATTGAAGCACATGATTTTAGTTGAAACAGATTCTTTCTTAATATTTACCATAGTGTGGAAACAAGTTCATCATAAATACTGCAATGTGGATCATGGTGCTGCACACAAAAATCACTCTGTTTAAATGAAAGCCCAATAATATATAAACCCTTTAAAAGGCTACTGCTGTTCAACAGAGGAGGTTTCTTATCTGATTTAGTTTTGTCATTGATACCAGGCTAAACATAAACTGAAAGAAATAAGTAAAACAAATATAAATTTGCATTGTTTCATACTCTCTATCTTAGTATTGAGGCAAGTCGGCAGCATTTTACCTTAGGTACATCTAACAAAATTAGATGTAAAATAGTTGGTCAAATAACAATAATTAAGTTTTTTTTATCTACATGCTACTTTTACAATTATTAGCTCTTGTATTTACTTAGCTTCTGATATGGCTGCTTCCTTTTCAAAACCCGCCCTCCCCCTACTCAGCATGTTTTATATTTTAAGAGTACTGAGTGAAAAAAAAAAAAAGCCGTCAAGCAGCGAGCCTCATGCATTACTGTTGAACTCGGGTAAAAAGGTTGAATTTTTTTCTTTCTGTTATGTTAATGAATAAATAGCCATGGGTAGGTTGTAGGACTGTCTGTAGGACTATTCTTTTAAGACCGACATGTAGGTTGTAGGACTGTCTGTAGGACTATTGTTTGTAGAAAATGAGAAATTATTGTGTATCACTTGGACCCACCGGGCATTTTCTCAAAATACCTGGACTCGGTTTAAAAAATAAAACTGGACCCGGTTAAGCCCTAGTATTTAATGTTTTACAATGGTAGGATCAAGAAGTTTTCATAATGACTTTACCTGTGCCAGCTGGACTGCAAGCTGCCTGTAAGTTTGTAAATAAGCTTCAAGTGTGTGTGGGCCATAAATGGTGGAAGCTGCCTCATATCTTTGGATCTGAGAATGTAAGACAGAAAATATAAACAACTTTTGTTCAGAATGTCAAAGATAAGAACAATTTACCAACAGAGAGAGGCAGAGAATAATGAACCAGTCAACGACAAGGTGACACTTACTTGGTATTCCTCAAATGTTGTGATGTAATCTGCATATTCATTGGATAAACCAGCAATGACTGCCTTTGTGTTGTTAGGAAAACCTTCCTGGACAAGAGTCTGTTGAATGTCAACAAAGATTAAACTTAATATATTTTTTTATGACACCTGTCTCATAGTGGAAATCGTATATTATCTTAAAAGGTATATTGTCTTAAAAGTCCAATGATAGCAAAGAAATAACACTCTTATGCCTATAACATGAAATACGGTTGTTCATTTAATTAATTAGCTTATTGCATTTGAATTGTCTGATCTATTGCCAAGTTATTTGATTAGCCTCCTGACAAAATTTCATCACTAAGCTGTTGCCATACTGTCTCATCAAATTATGCGTCCGTCTCCTACGTTGGGCAGATTAATCCAGTGACATTAACAAAAATGTGCATTTAAAATAAAAACGTACATTGTAAATGTTGTCTCTCATCCTACGACCAGACATAGTTCTGAGGAAATAACAATAAAAAAAATTATTAAAACTTCAATGTAATAAATATTACATCTAATTATTTGATTGAATTTTAATTGAATTTTTTAAAAATTTTCAGCCACAAAACGAATCTAGATTTCTACAGTTAATTCCTATTATGTGATCAAAGTTGTCTTCTGGCACATACGTGAATTCTCCAGGAACAGCAACAATAATGAATTGGCCAATACGAAGAATTTGATTGTCAACTATCTGGGGTTGCCATAGGTAGGGTTCTTTTATCTAATAGGAAAAGAACAAAAATCAGAACCAACGAACTTGATACAGCCAAAGTAAAACCATAGGATGAAACCAATGTTATAAAGTTGCATGGGAAAAAAAATAATATAAAAACTCATACAATTCTATCATTTAGAGCTCAAGAGATTAAGAAAATATCATCAACATAATATATGGGTTGATTCATGCAAATAATACACATTAAAATGCTTTTTACCTCATATTTTATAATATTATAAACACTTGACTTTCTTTTTCATTCATTAAAAAAAAAAAAATTAAATGAATACCCAAGTTAATTTCATTGTTATTTCCTTTGATAACATTAGAGCTGCTTTGCTGCAGATGTAAAGAATAAAATAAAAATCTTTTTACGGGCACTTCTGATCAAATTCATGAAAACAAAATTAATTAAAATGTCATGATTCAAACTTCCAGGGTTTTTTGTAATTTGCATATGGGATATGCATAGTTTTATAAAAATATGTTCAATAAACAGCATATCACCTCTCCAGTGTCTAACAGAATTGGTTTTGGCTGATGACACTTGACCTGCCTTTCTGAAGGGTCTTTGATGAGATCTCTGACAAAGTTCCAGAATGGGTTGCTGCTGTTACTGCCTGACATGTTGACATTTAAAAGTTTTAAAGTTATTTTGCAAACATTTCATTTAATTAATTTAATGTATGTCAGTATTTTATACGTTGGTTTAGTAATACATGCAGCAACCTGTTTTTTGTGTGCACATCTTGGATTTTGAGAGCCAGGTTAAGAGGAGATATTAATTTCTGTTACATTTCTCACCCTGCCTGAAATCAAAAGCTCCTGGACCATCAGTCGTCCCTGCAGCAAAACTATAACCCATCGCTGGTTTACATGTTTGAACCTATTTGTAGAACATAAATGACTGGATCACAAAATTTAAATATAATAAAGTAATTATAATAATTTTTGAGTCACATCATTATTTTAAGTAACCAATATAGACACAGTGTAGAATAAAACGCGGGTTTTGAAGCCTATAATATATCAGTTATTGGAGGACAAAAAAAAGTTGGGGGGAGGGGGCGCAACCTTCATGTTTTGCACAGCCTTTCCTTTGAGCGGCTCAGCACAAATCTGTTACACAGTGTTGGTAATAACATAAACAAAAGTGCCACCTGGGACGTATCAAACCCCCCCCCCCCCCCCCCCCCAAAGTTGACATACCTGAGTACCATTGGCCAAAGTGACATTTTGAATAGTCATGTCCACATAGGAATGACGGAAATCCACTGGTCCAGTGAGTTTTATTTGTGCAGTGTTATAGAGATCCTGTCAAACATAAAATGGTAAGTTCATTTCTTTCTTTCTGGCTATTTCAAAGTAAAATGTGCATAAGACAATACACTAGAAAAAAATAATTATTGACAAATTTAGTAAGAATCACAGTCATACAAATATTTCAGTATTACTTTATTATCTGCATGGACTTCCGTGAGCAACTTCTTATTTGGAGACAAAGTTCACAGCTCTGAGAATCAATGCTTATTTAATGATGCAGTTAATCAGGGAGGACACCCAAGCATGCAAATTGATTTTATATCTGAGAACATATGGGAATGTCACCTTCCTATCATTCGGCCACTGGACAGAAATATTTAGACCACATGTCGTAGGAGAGAAAAATTTGACCACATGTCATTTACAGTAACATTAAACAATGTGTCATTGTTGTAAACATAATATATTATTGATGGGACTCACCAAAGCCTTATTAAACTGATTTGTAGCAATAATCTTGGTACTCTCGAACATGTCTTTACCTGGACCAAATGCTACACACTGCTCATTCTAAACCAAATATTAGTAAGAAAATAATCACCATAAAACAATTACTTTAAGATGATATTTTGGTGGCATTGGTTTTATTTCATTTAATGTGATTTATTTCTTTCACAATATAATATAATATAATATGTGACACAATGTTAATTCAAGACTTAAATTTCATAGCAGTCAGATTTTAAAAGTGAAAAACAGTAAAATGTTGCAGCTTGTTACAAGTTAAAAGCATCTTAACATAAATTCCTTGTTTTAATATAAAACTTCTAATAATAAATGATAGAAATAATTGTAACTAATTCAGCTGCAATACAACATTCACTACAATAAAAGTAGGTCTGTATGTGAACAGCTCAATTTTAATCTAGAGAAAATCGTAGTTACCGACTCAGAATAACAGGGAGCATATGTATTTTCACGTAATTTCATCAGCAAATTTGTTAATTTTAAAAAAAATTATTTTATTTACACATACCCTTCAATTTTTATAATTTAGTCACAAATACCCTTCCCTTAATATAATTTAGTCACACATAGCCTTCTATTTGTATACTTAAGTAACACATACCCTTCCATTTATATAGTACTACATTACCTTAGTCACACATAAACTTCCAACTATACAATAACCTGACGACTATATAGTTCTAGTACTATAACGCTTTGGTTATACATACCCTGGCATTGCAAGTGCTGGTCTGACTTTCACATGGCAGACCTGTGTCTAAGCAGTGGGGACCTTGTGTATTGGGAGACACATCTCCCAAGTTACTCTGAGCAAACGCTGCCACAAAGGAACCCTGTTCGTGGAAATACATGTACAGCTAACTGTTGGTGTAACAAACTTCAAACTGAACCACTTAAAACTTATGCTTCTCTCACAACTCAGATGAAACTAAGACTTCAACAATTTCTTTATCAATTAAACACACTAAGCAGCACATGTTTATTTTAAAACTGTAACTTATTATGAGGAATTTAAGAATTATTGTATTTTTAAAAGCCAATTCCTTATAACCCTGAATTGCTTTTGAGACTTTGAAATAATTAATCCCTTCCAGCAAGAGGCAATGGGATCAATTAAATCAACTCAGTTTTTATTGCAAATGCTATATGAGCAATATCCCAAGGTTTTTTAAAAATGAACAATCCTGAGCAATTGACCAGCTTGTACAATGAACAAAGTCTTGGATGGAATAATAGAAGCAAACTGAGCGAAGCTACTGAGCTTAACTGACCTGCTTCCACACATACCTTTCCTGGCAGGGAGTCCGGGTTGAATTTTTTCTCAAACAACAGTGAAGCGTAGCCCTTATTGTCAGCAGTCAGCATCTTGTTGGTGTTGTTCATACTTGTGCAGTGCACAGCAAACCAACTAGGGTTTGAAGGGAATTAGAAATTCTATTAATTGATGCTGAGAGTAAACAAATAGTCAAAGATCTAATCAACATAAAAAAAAATGGAAAAATAGTGGGTCAAGACTAACAACTGTAATTGCTGGGGGGGGGGGGGGGGGGGGGGGGGGGGGGGGGGGGGGGGGGGGGGGGGGGGGGGGGGGGGGCGACAGGTAAAGTGTTAAGAACAAAGGAGCAATTGACATTTAAGTTTTGAGAGTAATGTTTAACTCTTTCGCTGTGGAATTTTTTAAATGAAAAAATGTACATTTTTTTCAAGAGCAAAAAAGAGTTGGAGGTTGGGTTTATTAAAAAAAAATTAAAATATTATTGTTTGGTCCATAAGACTAAACTTGGTATCAAATGAAATATACTTGAAAGGACTATATGTTTATAAACTTATTTTTTCAGTGTAACTAAAATAAGTTACAGAAAAGAACCATAAAATGTGAAAACATTTTATGCTAAACCCTTTTTTCCCCAAACCCTATGATGTACGCATAGCTCATCATTCCTATAACTCAAATCCTCTAAAACTACTACTATCGGAATCATGGGATGGATCTAAATATAAATCATCTTCACTATCAAAAGAAATAGTATAAAACAATTCCAAAGCTTTTTGAGCTGTTAACCATCTAGGAAAGCTTACTCACCTACTAGGGGCTAGTGTAGCCATAACAACAGTAGAGAAAAAAAAAGCAAAATCATTAAAATAATGCTTCAAATAACAACAAATAAACTTGGATTCGTTTATAAACAATGAATAACCACTCTTCTATGTAAAAGTCTTATTTAAAAATAGCCCTTAAAAAGTTTAACAGAAAAATAGCAAAGAAACAAATATGATACTGAAACAATGCTCAGTTCGTTGGTCTGTCCTTTTGAAAACTGCGGTTGAACGCAGTGTGCGTTGTTCCGTAGCGAAAGAGTTAAATATAAATCTTTTGACTAATAAAAACTGAGGTGAGTCTAACTAACCTAATCATTCCAATGTCCTTGCCTGAATCATCCACAATCTTCAGCAACACCATCTCTTTGTCAACATCATATTTGTACCTGTTGAAGAAACACAGGTCATTGGCTTAAGAGTTGGGCATGGGAATGGACTAAAAGAGAAAAAGAGGGAGGCTTGTATCAAAGGCATGAAATGGAAGGAGTAAATAAATGAGAGTAATGGGGGAGGACAGAATTGACAAGTAGGCGTATGTATGATGGATGAAAACAAACACCAAAAAACAATGAATGTCGAACTGCAAAATATGCTAAAGGACTTTGATCAGAATATTATTTAGTACCAATCGGCATGCATACTTGATAAATATTACAAAAATTTATTATTTGAAAAGTGTGTTATACAATGCACTTAGTATGTTTTGTTTTATTTTGACCGATAAAAAATAAAACATTGGTTTAATTAGTACATAAATATGAGATTCACTAATGTGTATTTGCTCTAATTTTGGCTTTGCTTACTTGGATCTCTCTGCCTCTGGATTGTTAAGGTATGCTGTGGGACTCCTATTAATATTGGAGTCCAAGAGTTCCCCACTGTTCATGTAGATGTCTGCCGGCCTCATTGCTTTGTGGGCTTGATGAATACTCTATGCAGAAATTCAGACATTTTTAATAACTAGCTTGTAAACCTTAAAAAAAAAATTTCAAATAAAATTATACGCTTTTAGTTAAATTTTAGGTGATTTGGAGCTTTTACCAAATACACTGGATTAAAATGTTAAGATTTTTATGGCTAATTTCAAAGTCTGAAACAATCGGCATAGCCCTATCTGGCACTGAGACGAAGTAGAGAAGGTTCAGTCAGAGAAAAGATAATGCAAAAGATCAACCTGAAGAGTTCCATTGACAAGAGCATCAAAACCTTGACGGTTGAAGCCCAATGCTGTAAGGTCATACAACAGATACTGGCTGAAACCTCCAGCCCCTCCATGGGTGTGGATGCCGCTGACTGCGACATTTCTTTCTGTGTACAAATCTCCATACACTGATTTGAGCTCCTTGACAACCTGAAAGGTTCACGGAGACAGTTTGAATCAAGTTAAAAAATAACAATAAGCCAATCAAAAAAACGTAACACTTTTCAAATAAGTCCTAATTCAATAATTAAATAATACCGGTAACATATTTGTCCATGTGGAAAGAATTCTTGAACCAATAATAAAATCAATGTTTTTTTTTTAAAACACCTCTGAGTGACCAACAGGTACCATGATAAACCCACTTGTTGCTTAACAGCTCCAGGTGACCAACAGGCATCTATGCTGATGAAGACTGTTCTGGTACTTGAAGGGGATGTGGCAAAGATGAAAGCACGGCTAAATTGTCTGATGTGAATCCCATGACTTGTTTGTCCTGGATTGGCATAGCCCATCTGCACATTAGTAATTTACATTTTTAAAATCTTCATTATACACATAAAAAAAAATTAAATAATTATAAGAGAAATGAAATAGCACCCTAAATATAAAACTGAAACGCAAAATTCACTGCCTTATATTGAACGGTAATTAATGTGATGTTGCTAAACATCAATAACTTTCTCTTACATTAGTACTCAAATTAATGTTTTAAAAAAATTTAAAATTTTTTAATTTGAAATAGGCTGCAATGTCAAATTATTTTTGTAAAATTACTAGCCAATCTAATTACTTTTAATCAGGATTATCATTACAATATTAAGCCTTGTCATCGGGGGGGGGGGGGGGGGGGACGACAGGTTGAGGGATTGAATTGGCCAGGGCGATTTTGGATGAATGGGCACAGGCTCCTGGAATTTTTGACCATTAATGGGGAATGTTTTAATAGGGTCTTTGGTATAAAAACAGATCCAACTAATAATAATTTTTTTATTATACCCATATTGATATCGAAAATAAAAATAAAATCTTTTAAACAATGTTAAAAATGTAAGAAAAAATGTAAGTGAGATATTAATAATATTATATAAATAATATCATAAATTGATTAATAGGTCATTGATCATACGTTTAGGATATTTCCATGTTTGTGGATATGATTTGGCAGGTTATCATTTATTTTTTCCCTTTACATATCTGGTTCACAGTCAATCAGTATAAATTATTAAATTTTTTTCCAGATAAATTCCATGTTAATAGACTTTTATAAACTTATTTTAGAGTAAGTCGTTGATTTGCAGGCTACTTGGGATATTGAACGAGTCAATAAATATATAACAAGTTAATAATACTGAATATGATTCTAAATATAAATTAAAAAATCTCAGTATGATATAGCAGCATAAGGCAAAATTGTTACTTGTTGTTATTTATTACTTCAAGACTAATTTTAGTTTGCTGTATGATTTTCTTCATATCGACACATTTAGAAACAAAATATAGAAGTTCTTCACAAATCCTAGTTACCACATTGAAATACAAAACGCAACATTACAAAAACTACACACGAGAATACCCATTCTAAGTCTTTCATCACTTGCAACCATAAGCAACACAGGCCATTATACATCTAAGAGATAATAGCAAGCTGGAAAAGATGGTAGAAAACATCACCCCAACAGGTGTTTGCGAAATAGATGTGTTCCAATCGGTTTTGAAAGACTCCAGTGTCTGGCTGTTTCTGAGAGCGACAGGAAGTGTGTTCCAAATTGTTGGGCCAGCAAATGCAAACGTGTGCCTTCCATAAGTCTCAAGGCGAACACATGGTATCGAGAGTTTGCCACTAATCAGATGAGCGGAGTTGTCTACATAAAGGTACATAAGGCGTCTTGAGCGCTTTGAGATAGGACAGTGCCAGGTCACACAAGCAGCGGTAGCACAGAGTTGCAATTTTGTACTCTATGCGACTGCGGACCGGCAGCCAATGCAACTCTCTCAGAAGTGTTTTAGCATGGTCAAATTTGCATTAGCAAAAAACATTGCGAGCCACATTATTCTGTACTTTTTTAATTTTATCCAGGAGCGTAGCTGGAAGACCCACCATGAGAGCATTACAGTAGTCCTTGCGTGATAGCACGAATGCAGACATCAGCCTATTAATTGCATCAAACGTTAAGAAAGGTCTGATAGGACTAATTCATAATATGGTATGCCATATCAGAAGCTATCTTGCCGTTTCCAGTAAATATTTTGCATAAACTATATAACACTTCTCTTAAAAACGTGATCATTAACCGCACAATCGTTTTGAATTTGATCAAACAATGGTTCATTATCTACAATTTATCCATTAAGCACTTTTTGTTTTTCTAGAATGCACAGACGGTAACTACTGTTTCAACTCCAAAATCCTCTTGTTCTTTATGTAACTGGGTATTTGTTCATTTGGTTAAATTTTGTGGAGCTTTACCAAGTGGAATTATTGGGCATTGTTATTCAATTTTCAATTATCTTTTAGTCATCCTCTGGTCTTGCTACAAATAAATTAATATTGCTTTGATGTATTTTGAAAGAGGACTTGTTTGTTGAAAAATTCACAAAAGATTCGTAAACATAAAAACTTTGTTGACTTTTGTTCAAAAACATTTGTATATATTAATTCAATTTTATTTTGTTGCGGCTGTCACATCGGACACCTAATAAACTGATTCGCACTTACTAGTCATAATAATAAATTCCCATGCTCATACTGTGCCATACAGGCCAGGGCATAAGGCTACTTACTAATATTAACATTATTTATTTTATAAATAATTATTACTAGTAATACAGTAAATTAGTATTCAAAACGCCCTTTCCAACTATTATATAGTATCAATGGTATATACTTTGAACAATTTACGCTTGACGTTTCGCACCAGGATGAGTGATTTCCTTTTAGTTTATTATTGGATTGTTCCTATTCCTAGAGTTCTATTTTTAATATTAATACACCAATGGAATATTGTAAATTAATATTTCATTTGGCGGATAATTATAATATTTGAAAAGAAATTTAAAACAAGGCTAAATTTTGTAGCCCACATGTTTTAGTTTAGGGAAGGGAGCGATTGCAGGTCGATGACACTTACTTGTCGCATATCTAGAAGGATTCAATAAAGTTGCTATGTTCGCCATGAAAATAATGTACTGGCTGAAATTACGCCTGGAAAGGGGGCGATCATTAAATTTTAACTTTTGTTCCTTTTTTTGTTTCATCTTGAAAGTAGTTGGGTCAAATTATGCAGTCTGCGCCACATTGAGTTTCTGTGTAGAATTATCTCCCTTTTGTCTTTCTTGCATTGTTGCTGGAGTTAACTTTCATTACTTTAAATATTAATACATCGAAGGAATATTTTTAACTATAATTTCATTGGGTTGATAATTATAAAACTTAAATTTTCTGTCATTTTGGAAAATTGGTTTAATATTGTATTGTATTGATTTTCCTGACAACTTTTGGATTTTATTTTTGTTGGAATCTGCATGAAAATGTGTAAGTGTAAAAGTATATTCTATGAAACTGTCAGTTAGGTTTTCATTATTTTACAATTATTAATTTTTATTTTTTAATAACTCTTTTCCCACCACAGTAACTGTAGCACAAATATTGTAGTTGACACGTCTTGCTGCATATCTAAAAGTAAAGTGAGTAAAGGGATACAAATACAACAAAGTTGCTACGTTAAAGGCAAAATTAATGCACCAGCTGAAATTAGGTCAGAAACACAACATTTTGACCAACCTAAACCACGGTTTCCGCTCTGGATTCTCAACAGAAACTCAATTAATTATTCCCACCTCCTTGCCTCCTATGACAAAGGTACCCAGGTCGATATGGCAATTCTCCAAGGCCTTCGACACTCTTCCACATAGCCTTCTTCTACACAAGCTCCACCACTACACATTACCGGCAACGTTCACTCCTGGCTCTCAACATTCCGATCAGGGAAAGCCACTGTAGACTCAGGAGTTTCTCAAGGCACAGTGCTGGGCCCCCTTCTCTTTCTCTGTCACATAAACGACCTCCCTGATACTGTAAAATCTCAAGTCAGGCTGTTTGCAGATGACTGTCTTGTCTACAGAGAGATAAACGGCTATGGTGACCACAACCACCTTCAAGCAGATTTGAAGTGCCTTATGAATTGGGCGGACAAATGGGGCATGAAATTTCCTGGCATCTGCTAGGAGCTGTTAGAATAGCAAAATCGCTTACCCAACCATTGCACAGATGCCAGTATATGGATGCAGCAACGAACACTACCAGAACCAGAAGTTACCATAAGTTGTTGACACTTCTTGCTGCATATTTAAAAGATAGTGGCCATGGGCAAAAAAGTAGTTTGCAAAAACACGGTAGAATGGGCATGGGGGAAACGTCAAGCGTACAATTATATATATTTATTTACCATATTAATTTCAGCTGCTGGTCCAGTAATATCAGCAATACCTGCACCAACATAGTAATTTGCAGAGGAGCAGCCATGGCACAATATTGTTAAAATATATACTGCACATGAAGTAAGTTTCGCTACTGACAGTGGTGCCGCCATTTTGATAATGTGTAGGTCATGTGATAAGAAGTCTATATTTAATTTTACAATAATGTTTATTCGTTGTTTTTTTTTTGGTTTTTTAAATTTTAATTCTCGGTTATCTTCGCTGAAAGACGTGAAAATCAACCGAACTTATAGTCGCATTCTTATCACTATGTATAACGTTATTAGCACGTATGATTACGATGCACTATACATAATAAGTGTCTCTCAGGCCAAGATAGCCCGAAATGTAAAATGATTAAAATGTAGGCCCGAAAAGCCAGCTGTGACTTTGTGTCCATTCATATGTTGACTGTACCCAGTCTGTACTCAAACGCCTTAATGTAAGTAGGCCTATCATAGATCAAACACATTATAATGTTTAAAGTCATAATCGGTCATAAAGTCCCATTGGTGGATTTACTATAAGAAAGACCAAATGAAAAGTTGTCTTTTGGGTAACAAGACATAATAGGATGAACATCAAAAAAAAATATCTTTCAAATGTTACCCTTTGACTTTGATGAATATCCCCTAGTTGACGGCATTCCCCCCCCCCCCCTCCTTTTTTTTTCTTTTCTACTTGGCTCCTTTTAAGACCTAATATTTCAATTTAACTGGGTCAGAATAAAAGACTAAACATAGAATTTAGCCGATTAGAGTTCCAATATCTCAGAAAAAATTGTGGTAATTGATTGTTTAAATTACGCTTAGGGTCTTTTGCGCTAAAAAAAATAAAACCTATACAAAGAGAAAGTGCCGCCCTTTATACATCACTGACAGTGCGAGTGATCCACAACTGTCAAGTGTAACAATGTTATTTCAGAAAGGTGAGAGGCGATATTATATATGTATACGTACCCAAAAAGTCAAGCTTTGAAACCTCCCACTGTTGCAGGCGTAGGCTTATTTTTTTTATTTTTTTGGACACCCCCTACCGTACAATCAGACCCTGTTTAACCATTAGGCGAATTAGGTGGCCACCTAGGGCGGCAAATTTTTAGGGGGCGGCACTATTAATTAAATCATTAGTTTCCGTGGGCGTGGCCGGGAGGGGGGTGCAGTGCGACAGGTTCGCCTAGGGTGCCAAATACTCTGGCGCCGGCCCTGCGTACAATGATATTTTGATCCCCACAACCCCTTAAAAACCCCAACAAGATAGTTTGACGTCACACTAATAATAAATGTGTCACAAGTGTTCACCGCATTGCCCCCGGGCAGGACCATCGGAAAGAGCAGAGGGGGTACTTGTCACGGGCGCCAACCTTCAGGGTGCCAAAATGGTCATAATGGTCTTCAATAGTGATTGAAACTATAAAATCCCATGTAGGCCTACTTCTATGTTAACAGTGTTATAATAATTTTTTTAACACAACACTTTAAAAAAAAAATTACTCCCTATGGCGAAGTGTTCTTGAAATAATTTAACACAGGGCAACCGGTGTAAACCTAAATTTAGCAAGGGTGCAGGGAAATAAAGAATTGTTGGAACCACTTGTGTAGCCGAACATAATACGTCACATGCAGGGTTTCTTTTAGCTATATCTCCGGGGGGTGGGGAGGGGGGCAGTGCCCCCGGGGAAAGCCAAGTGCCCTCCCTCGAGCAAAAATATGTCCAACAAAAAATCAACTGGCTATGCCCCCCCCCCCCCCCCCCCCACGAAAACTCAACATTTCTGAAATAATCACTGGTCACATGGGATTTACGGTGGACTAAAAATTAATATTAGCACTAAGTAGGCCTACTACTATAGCAATATTTGGCGAGTTAACTTTTGAATACTCAGGGCAACATTATTAAATTATTACAATATTTCCTACAAAACATTGCATGATATTTTTTATAGCATTTCTGATATAAATGTTCTCTTTGGACTGTCGAGAAAACTATTGCAGACTGTCACGAAAACTCAACATTTCTGAAATAATCACTGGTCACATGGGATTTACGGTGGACTAAAAATTAATATTAGCACTAAGTAGGCCTACTACTATAGCAATATTTGGCGAGTTAACTTTTGAATACACAGGGCAACATTATTAAATTATTACAATATTTCCTACAAAACATTGCATGATATTTTTTATAGCATTTCTGATATAAATGTTCTCTTTGGACTGTCGAGAAAACTATTGCAGACTGTATGAATAAATGTACGTTGGTACTTTCTGCTGATGCCTCCCAGCCCCCCTCTCGTCATACGCATGTAAAATCGACACTCCCCCCTCCCCCTCAGTGAGTACGTAGTGTTTGGATTCCCCCTGACCAGTGACTGCTCTTACCTTTTATTTTTATGTTGAGATTTTAATTTCTCTACTTTTAAACCATTACTACGTAGAGCACCCTCTTTAAACTGTAGGCCCACTGGTTTCCTCATGGCCTGCAATTACTGAAAAGCCGGCACTTTAAAACCTGTACTTATTGGTAGACAAATCATTATTAGGGAATAAATTCCAGCCTTGTGAATACCGGTAGTAAAAATAAATACTAACATTGCAATTCACGAATGCAACTGCAAACATTAATTAATTCTTTTAGGAAAATGGGAACGGTGGCAAAACGTTCCACCCAATAGAATAGAAGGATAGAATAACAACAGCATTACAAAAAGGAAGTTGAAGTGAATTTGACACACACCCTCTGGGAATGGGCCTTCAAACATCACCAGAGAGACTCTGAGAGATGATCTCAGAGATCCACGACAGTACTTGTCTCACCAGAGGCGCCTCGGGGTTTGATGACCAAAATGTAGTGCGATATGAAGTATTACAATTGCATATCAATTTACTTTGCATGCCATTCTACCAAATAGCTTTATCATTACTTCAATGCACACAATATGCACAATTCCTGAAATTTTCCACAATGAATTTTACGGTACACAAAATTAGAGGGAAGGAACATTAACCATTCATTTTAAGTTTAAGTTATAAGTATAAGTAAACTGAAATTTAAAACATTGTTAGTGTTCTTCTTCTTCTATATATCAAGGGCCCATGATCAATTTTTTTATCATTCTGGATCCTAAGCATGTAAAGGGGATTTTCAATGTTTCTGTGCCTGGTGTTGAAGAGGATATTTCACTGGTTCTAGGGCTAATCAGCGAGGGTATCATGAACTGGGGTTTGGAAAGCTTGTGCCAATAGATGCAAATGTGTCAAGTGTTGTCGCCTCAACTGTTTGTTTTGGAAGCTTGTTCCAGTCCCAGGTTGTATTTGGCAGGAATGAGCAGTTCCTGTAATGGCTTCTTGCTGGTATGAGCCGGAACTGCCTGTCGCTGTCTATGGGGGAGAGGGACGAGTTTCTATTTTATTACCTATGTTCCCAACAATTCTTCTAAGGCTGTTTGAACTATAACTTACCAGAACTGGAAGCATCTCAACTAGTGTAGGGCTAATTCATTTTTTCACGTGACCTTTTATTAGAACTGGAGCTAGTCATTTTGGCTACTGGTACCTTTTCTCAATATGACAAATATAGCAAGACAAGGAAGCGTATGGAAACTTCATGGATCAACAAAGATGTATGGTAACAAAGACTGGAAAGAGTTGGAAAGAGTTAGAGAGGATAGCTAGAGACTGGAAGGCTTACTTGTAAAGAAATAATTGATGGTATATAGCTCCACTGGGAGTTGAAAAGGCAAAGAAGAAGAAGACTCAATATGACACTGCATCTAAGAAATATATGCTTTTTGTTTCTTTTTTATAATAGATTTCCATTTTAAAAATTGCACCTTACAGTGGAAACAATTCAAATTCACTTACTCATCTGAAATTGATATATTCAAAATTAGAATTCTTTAGCACATTAAAAAAAAAGAGCAAATTTGTCAGTCAGTCAAGTTGACAGGTTATGACAGGAAATAGTTTGCTAGTTGAATGGAAGAAGATAAATTACAACAGAAGAGATATGGTTAACAAAATAACAATTTAGTTATTAAAAAGATAACTATAAGTTCAAAATGTAACTTTTGAAAAGCTATTTTAATAGCAATAAATTAACTTCATTGATATGGCAGGTTGAATAATGAGGAAAATCTGTAATTGTTTTCAGATTAACACAAGTTGCTGTCACTGGGATTTGTAACTGCAGCAACAAGATTACAAGACCAGGCAAGGATTAAAAATTTAACTTTTCAAACTAAACAAAATAGCCTATGGTAAACCAAATCAGTGAATAGGATTCTTTGAAATAGTACCGGTAATAGATACTCATACTACTTTCAACTAAAGATATAAATATATAATATAAGGTACGCTATCATAACATGAAAATGTGAGGTGTTTTTTTCTTCAAATCAACCAGGTCAGAGGCTTTGTCAGCCCTAATGTTGCCGAACAATTTGACATGTCATTTACAGGCAAAGTACATATTCTAAGTGGCCTTTGGATGCATCACATTAGTGGTTAGGGAAAAATAAATTAATCACACAGGTTTGAACATTGTCTGGACGACAATATTAGTATGTCATGACATGAGTAGTAATTCCTATAGTAAATGAGATGAGTGGTATTTCCTTTAGTATATAATATGAGATTGAAATGAGTATTAATTCATTGGACTTTTTCTTATGTACAAAAAAAATTCATATAATTTATATCCTGTAGTAATTGAAGAATTCATTTAGAGCTTTGTAAAAAAAACAAACAAACAGGAAACATATTTAAACAGTTTAAATGCATTGTTTTCCAGTACACAAACAGATTTCTGTAGGAAAATAAGTTTTATTTTTTTGTCAGCTCATCATAGAGAAATGATTTATTATGTTTACAAATTATAGTGAAAGAAGCTTAGTATCGAAGAAAAAAAAATAAATGTCTTTATTCTAAAATCTTAAGATAATAATGTTCAATTACTTACTGAACTTTACAACGATGATAGCAATTCCTTTAATTTATCATAATTTTTGTGATTTCTATCACAAAAATTTGAATAACTTTCTCTGAACATCTATTTTAACTATATTTACATCATCTCATATTCATGAAATCTGAATGTATTCACTAATGTTCCTTCACTTTATTTTGCCTACGATGAATTAAACTGGAAGTAAAATCATTGTCTTCCCACTTGAATGTTCGATCTCTGCAAACAAAAATAATACGATTTTTGTTAGAACACAAAATGCATCACAGCAAAGTCTGGATAGTCTCATTACAAAATGGTTTGTTCTGATATGATGATATTCCCATGTACCAATACAGAGGATGATCATTTTATACAATGCTGATTTGTTACACCGGTTTAACCAGGAAAACATCTACATTTGACCATTCACTGAAATACAAATGTTATATTAAAAAAAAACAAGGCTTTTTTCTTATTGGCTTTGAAGACATGATCTTAATAATTTTTTACCGATTTTAAGAATTTATATACTTTTGGTTGAAGTTAAATGCAAATATTACTGGGTGAGGTTCTCCATACTATTTAATTTAACAAGTAATTTTAATGGAATTTATAGTGAAAAGCTGGGATGATTTTTACAAATATGGCTGAAAAAATAAAATTAGTTGAAAAAAACACAACATTTAGAGCTCCAACTTTAAGATCAATAATTCCATTGATTATTTGTAAATCACAATTTCTTTACTATTGATGAAAGAAAATTCTACCAAGCAAGTAGCATTAGTCATTAGTTATTAATGTGAACTGGTAATATTTAAATAAGGTTGACAAGACTGACTCAGTGTAAATGCATAATAGTAATAAATTTCTTCTTTCATCAGTACTCCAATACACAGGTATAATGATTTGCCAATGTTTTTTTAATACTGTGATCTATTCTACAATAAATGTGTGGATTTAAATGTAGGAAAATAAGCACTTGAATAACACATAAATGTATCATTGTGTATTATGTGGCTATACATTTTCAATAAAAAGACAATTAAAATACTTTGTATATTTGCAAAATATTCCATGTTAATATCCTTAATTAAAAAAAACACAACTATTTAGACAGAAGCAATATTGGCAAACTATTTAAATTTTTAGTTAGAACAAATCTTAAAAAACTTTTGAGATTTTCTTATTCTTTTACTGGTCAATTTTATTATTTTCTTGTTTAAATACTGGTAATCACAAAAAAATTTGAAGGTTTTTGATAAAAAAATAAAATGTTCCCTAACAATTAAAGAAAAAAAAAATAAAATCAAAATGTACAAATGGAAGAAAACCAAAAAGCATATCTAAATGTGTCTATAATCATAATGCATTTGGATTTTACAGGCACAAGTAAAAATGAACTATTATCTGCAAAATTAATGTATGTTTTATTAACTAATTTAAAATTTATATTTTGTAAAATATGCATTCAAATGACAGTGGCTAATAAAATCTAGGAACATTTAAAAAATCCTAGTTATGAAACATCATTAAAACTATATAAAAATTTTTTTTTCAAACAATTCACTTCCAACATATTTTTTTAAATCTAATTTATTTGAAAAACCATGTATTTTGTATATTTCTGTGAAGATGAACCCTAAAAAATGGGTTATGTTTGATGTTTGCCAGTGAAATGAGACCAGTATGTAACTTTACTTTCAGCAAACATGCATTTAGGGACTGTTCAAGAGGAATCTCCAGGGAAGTTGCTATCTCTTCTGATACGAGACAAATGAGCTTCATACAGCATTTGATTGACAGAAAAGTAATATGGGTTTTCTTCCATTCCTAACTCAGGCTCATAACTGCCTGATGGCATTTGCTGAAAGTGAAACTCTCTGCTATAATCTGAGTGGACATGAGGCTGACTGTTGCCTGGAGAACTACAGTGAAAAGGGGAATGCTGGTTTTGATTATTCTGATAAGATGAAAGCTGTTCATTTTGAGCATTGCCGAAGACTGACCCAATCTGGCTGTTTTGAATGCTCTGAAAAAAAGAAGGTTGCAGAGAATTAAGAGATTGATATTGTGACTGATGTTGACTCTGAGATTGGTTAGTTTCAAAGCTCAAATTGCTTCCAATCTGTTGTTGGTTTGTGTCCATAATCGGCCCAAAATCCATGTTATTTAATGGGGCCAAGAGTCTGCAGTTAAAATATGGAGCACTTGCTGCATGCTCAAGAAGCTGAATTTGAGTTAATGGTTCTGGATCATTTGATGACACATGTGACCCTTGTTCTTGATGTGATGAAGTATGACTAGATCGTGAATGAATTGAAACCAGATGATTAGAAATAACTGGATATGGATCACTCATAGACCGGGAAAAATGGACATTATCACCACAGGAATTATGCATATTGTTTATGTTGTGCAATTGTGAAATGGCTTGTCCATTGACTGGATGATGTCTTAAGGACTCGGAATTGTTCAGGTCATGGTTGTGACAATAGGATGGATTATTTAAGTCCTGTTGATGACTGGCATCTGTGACCGACTCTACACCTCCAGCAACAGCATTTTCATGTACACCAGCAAATATATGGACATGATTTCCATTTGGCTATAAAGTGAAAAGAAAATAATTTTCACATTAAAGAAGTTACAAATTATTTTCATTATATACGGTAATTACTTTATTTAAAAATATAGTTTTAAACAATTCCCCTTACCTTAAGTGACTAATAAAATGTTATCAATAAATTCATTTTAAATCTGTACAATGATTCAAAACAAATTGGTAAAGAATTGTAATGCTGCTTACCTGTGGGAATACTGCATGTGATTGTCCCCTGAAATTGAAAACGCAGAAATAAAAGTGTGTAAACTTAAATCAAATTTTTCTTCTATGATTAACAAAGTTGACTCATGGGAGTAAACAAACTAATTTACAATATATATATATTTATATACCGGGTATATATAAACTGAAGGTCTACTTACCATTGTCCAAAAAAATATCTTAAGAACTGACCTTGCATGTTGCTTTTCAATAAAATCCACTTATCTAATCTTCTTATATAATTTTCTACCTTAGATAATAAAATGAAAGGCATGAATAGCACTTTTTATTTACTTACTCAATGTGAAGAGAATTTATTCTCTTTGATATTGGTAGACATTCATCCCCATCTTCCACCTCATGATGCGATCTTTTACGGTTTGACCTTTAGAAAGTAATAATATTTTTTATTAAGGTAAAGGTTATATGTGAACATGAATTCTTATTTTCAAATTCACAAACACTATTTCAAAGCTTATTTTAAAAGTAATTTCACAATATTTTCATAAATGAATATAGAGTAGAGTGAATTAAATTTTTAACAATTTCTTTAAAAGGATATAGGTCAACTCTGTCAAAGTTTCCTTTAAAAAAAAGTAGCAGAATGAATTTAAGTTTAATTAACAACTTATTTAGTACCATATCAAACTACTGGAATGTTGTTATTGTTTGAACAAAAGTTGAACATTTTAATGTAATTAATATTTTCAGAATCCATTAAAGCTATGCTCCTCCTGATTTAGAAGAATTTAGGCATAGGCCTGTGAGCCCTGTGTGAGGAAGGAAGGAAAAATCACCCTGAAACATTGAGTTTACTATCATCACTGACTATTGATTGACATTATTGCACTCACTCTACTCAATATCACCTATGCCTATTAGGGGTGTGCCGGAATCCGGTTCCACTGGATTTTGCACTATCCGGTGAAATCCGGTTCCGTCGGATTTACATGTATCCGGAACAACCGGAATCCAGAATATACCGGATTTCAGAATTTGCCAGATTTTGTGACTCACCGGATCATAATCTGAAATAAAAGTAATTCTCTTTCCCGAATTCCACACGATCACGATACATTAATCGATTGTTTCGAGCGTTAACTTATTATCAATCTGCGTTTTATTCTGATTTCAGTGATTTCTGAATAATTTCTATTTTCCATATAAGGCACCCAACAAATCAGATTTACCGGTATCTGCAAAGTACCAAAATCTGGAATCCGGGAGAAACCGGAATCCGGATTATTCCGGAATCCGGATCCGGCGGATTTCGCATAAGAAAATCCGGATCCGGTTGGAAAAAACGGATCCGGCACACCCCTAATGCTTATATTGTTCTAAGGAAGGACTAAGGGCGTTCTGCTCATACACGTAACCACTAACCCCTTTCTTTATTATTATTATTATTAAGGTGGTTTTTATATAGCACAGTACCCTCAGCGTTGGGCTGGGCTCACTGCGCTTCAAATAAAAATTATCAATTACACTACAGAAAATTAGACATTAAAAAACAATTGGTAAAAACTAAAGCTTGACCTCACCCACCCAAGCCCAAGAACTATCTAACCCAGTCTAGCCATGGACAGCACTCAGCAGCATCCAGCGTTGTTTTATGTTTATATTATCCTACCAGCCTACTATTAATAGTAATAAATAGTAAATAGCAAATGCCACAGGCCTAAATTAAAAAACCCAAAAACAACTTAAGTCATAAGTAGTGCTTACTTAATAACTTACTTTTACTTAATTAATAAGTATTAGTATTAGTAGCCAACATTACATTTAAATTTAGGCAACATAGTTCAACGTCAACATGTAATACTAGTCCTAGTAATAGACATACTATACATTACTATAGACTTTACTATAGACTATAGAAGAAGAGACTTAATAAAGTTTAAGACTTTAACTGTCTACACATTCTGAGTAATATACATATAAGTAAAAATAACTTACCTCGAAGAGGCCATGGCCATTGATTTAATATTAGTATATATAAATGAGTATCGCGGTGCTTCATTCAATTACTAATGAGTTAAAGATAGTACTCCAATTTCATTCACCAGTTTTCACTTCTGTTGTAATACAACTTGTATATCATTGAAAGTACACTCAGAGTAAACTGTAATGGCCATACAAGTGTTATGCAGCATCAGCATGATAAGTAGTAGCTATGTTGAAAATAGGAAAATAAATTGGAGTGATCCCCCCTTGTTTAGTTTCCAAAAAGGTTCCTTGATAAGAAATATAAATTTGTAGATTATTTCCATTAAGTTATATAATTCAAAGTAAACATATAATTTCAATTTTTAAATAATATTTAACTGCATTCAGCATACCATGGCACCATGTCATAGATATCCGCTATGCTTGCTGCCGCTTTGCCGTGGCCATGTTACAGTGTTAGTTAGAAGTCTAGTACTAGTTGGGTAGTAGCAACACCGGCCTTATGTAAACTTTCGCCCTATGCGAAGCACCCGTTCGGCGCCCCCTTCCCTGTCCCTGTATGGCTCAGCTCTTCTTCCGATTACGACGTAGGCTATGGCATGGAGTACATGTTATGATGCTATACATGTAGCTAACCATACGTCATACGCATTTTAACATGCACAATTTAGACTGCTTAGTTTTTCTACAGTACTATGTTCCATTTCCATGTCTTTTCACTTCGTTGCCGAGCAGTGGCGTAGCTAGGGTCGGTGTCACCCGGTGCGGTAAACTCATGGTGTCACCCCCCACCCACCAAACTTCTATGATCGATTTTTTCTTGTTAAAATAAGTCCACAGTATCGCATCAACCTTGAACTTTTAATAAAGCACGCATTTGGATTGGTTACATTTGTGAAAAATATATGTGTGATTGGTAATTCTTTTATGAATCTCGGTTTTTGCGAGCAATGTGTGCCCTGTAAATATGCAATTTTTCAATTTGGTGTCACCCCTAAAATGGTGTCACCCGGTGCGGTCCGCACCCCCGCACCTGCCTCGCTACGCCACTGTTGCCGAGTGCGTGCGTTTCCAGCACGTCTCAGAAAATTTTCCATCCATTCACCCCTGTGGCCAGGGGCGTCATTTCAGTTTTTTTCAGGGGGTGGGGCAAAATCAAATATTGGTCGGCTTGTTAAGCTGTTTATTACTGGACGCGCCACAGTACAAAGCAATTTACATAAAAACTGCAAATTCTGGGGGTAGGCCACCCTTCCCTACCCTTATGATGTCCCTGCCTGTGGCGCTACAGCCCATGTGGGGCTTTGGCTTGCCTCACTTCTTCCTTCCACTCAGACCTAACTGATGCTTTTTATTTCCATGCTTGGATTCTCAGCTGCTGTAGATCTTTTTCCACATCATCCACCCATCTAAGCCTAGGTTTGCCTTTGAGCCGTTTTCCTCTTGGGTTTTTGGTGAAGTACTCTTTTCACATCTCTGTCATTCGTGGGCGCCTGCAGGGGGGGGCAAGGGGGGCATTCCCCCCCCCTGGATTGATTGGATAAATTTTTTTTAGACAAAAATAGAAAAAAATGTATTAAAGTAAAGAGAAAATAAAGAGAAAGTAACTAAGCTGATGTCCTGTCCGTTCGTTCATCATACAAATACGCTTCAGTAAATTAAAACTACATTAAAACATTACTTAAAATTTTTTGCCTCCCCCCTTGGAAAGTTAATCGATTTTTTTGCCCCCTCCCCTCCAGAAAGTTTTCTGCGGGCGCCCATGCTGTCATTTGAATTTGGCATTCTTTCTGCCCTTTTTCAAATTTCTGCTACTCGCATGGGATCCTGATATAGACTATAAAATTCCTGGTTGGTTAGTATTCTCCATTCATATTCATCCTTTGTTGGTTCATATATTTTCGGAGAACTTTTCTCTGAAAAGTGTTTAATTAATAGATTTTCTGTCGTTTTTGTTAAGGATCAAGTTCTGTGTTTTTCTTGTGATGTTTTACCTTTTGAGTATATTCCGACTACTGCAGTATGCCCTGTTTCCGGCCGATAATTTTTTCTTTTATTTCTGTTACTAATTCGTTTATTTCATTTAATATTCAAGTCTTTCTTATTCTTATGTTGAACAAGTGTCATCCCCATGATGAATATGGACCATGGAGGAAACCATTTGGTGATGACACTTGTTTAAACATAATGAAATGTCTTTGAATAACTTTTGAAGTTTGACTACTAAAAAGGCAATAAATAATCAAAAAACAAATCTTGCTGAGGTTAAAAATAAAGGTGCAAAAAGTTTTATTATTTAAAAACTAAATTTTTATTATCATTTTTTAAATTTTAATAAATATTTGTTTCGTTTCATTGGCTCTACTCTTGTTGCATTTTAGCTAATATCTGAGATTCAAAATGGCGTCAGACGCTGATGAAAGCTCTGTTATCTTACAGTGGTATGGATACATATAAAATCCTTTGTGTTAAAGAAGAGGCTTATTTTTTAGGCCTAACGTGTTATGATCATGTAAACAAAACTTAAACCTCTCTCAGTGACTGTGTAGTCTTGTCCATGCGAAATTTAATTATAAGTCAATACTTGAACAACATTCAATCATTGTTGAATTTTTCATGATTATGATTATGATTGTCATTGATTTGAACATGGCACTTTTTAATTTCAAAGATTATTAGACCCTCTCTATATTAAGTTAAGTAATTAAATTAAAGAGTGAAAGTGACTAACACATTTAAACTTCTCAGTTTAAGTATCACAAGTTATTATTGTCACTTGCTTTGCGACAAGTTCAATTTGCATTTTTAATGACTGAGATTGATGTTTCACTATTTTTAGACTATTACAAAAATAATATGTCCTAGTACCTAGGCCTATACTATGACTATGCACTGTGGCAATAATATGGCATGATGTGATTGGTGATCAGTGATAGTTTCAAATCTCCCAGGTCCCCATATTCAAAAGTTTTCAAATTTTAGCTCTGTGTTTAATTTTAATTATTTGATGTAACTTTTTTTCTCTCGTTTTCGAATTTTGTCTTGAAATTGGTGGGAGGGTAACTGAAGTAATCTAAATCATGTGCACATCTTGTGATAACTTTGCTAGTAAAATACTAATAATAGTGAATGTGCAGTTTATTTGAGTTATCTTGATTTTGTGTTTATTAATTTTCTATTTACGAAGTGTCACACGTCCGGCGCGCCGGACGTGTAGTGCGCAAGATATACGTCCGGCGGCTTGTCACGTGACCGCCGGACATGGCCGGACGGCTAGTAGTTTTTATAATTCCAAACGAAGTACGGTTTATTACATCTTGTCTGGTCTTGTGCTAGAGTGGTTGCTTGACGATAGGAAGGTTTGAGGATCTATACCGGGGATAGGGTCGTTTTTTTTCTTCCCATTTTAATTAAAATATTTTGTATATATTTATATTATCATGTTCCTCAGCAACAGTAGTTTCATGAGAAGTTTTTAAATATTTTGTAGCAATTGAAATAATTTAAAATGAAATCTTATCATGTTCCTCAGCAACAGTAGTTTCATGAGAAGTTTTTAAATATTTTGTAGCAATTGAAATAATTTAAAATGAAATCTTTTACTTTAACTTTTATTGGTTGCCTACGCCTACTCCACACTGGCCCATAATTTATTTTATGGATTACTGGTACACAAACTCAAATAACAAACTAAACAAAAATGTTTTCTATTATTTGCATTCAAGATACTCAGTACATTACTTGGTAGAGAAATAGATTTTAAAATTAACAATAGTTTTGAATTATTCGCAGTCACGTGACAAGGCTGACCGACAAGATATCTCTCGCCACTTTGTTACGGCGGTCATGTGACTTGGTCGCCAGACACATAGTGCGGGAGATAGACGTCCGGCGCGCCGGACGTGTAGACACTGCCTTCTATTTATTTGTGGGAAAGGGGAATAATTTGTAAATCCCTGAGCTTAAACAGACTTTTTTAATGTTTTGAGTTCATTAGCTAATCCCTAGCAGTACAAGAACTTGAAACTGTTCAATGTGGCTTCAGAGTCTTTATGCACTTATTCTCTTATTTCAGTCAAAAGTCTCAAACAACTTAGAATTTTGAAAAAGCAAAAAAATCTTTACTTCTTTTAAATAGTTTACCCACTGAACAGAGGTATATGGATCTTTTGGAACAGACTGCTAGTTTTAATACCCGCTTGTCAATAGAACGAAAGATGAGACTGCCATTCCTTGATTCACAAACGGGCGTGGCTCAGAGGCACACCAACCTCTTTCACCCTTATAGGCATCGGCAAAAAGGTATATCAATTTAACACAACCTTTAAAAAATAAATAACATGCTTTTTGAGACCTCTGTGCTGCATGACAAGTTGTTCCCCTCTATGCTGTATTGTTGAAAAAAATTGTTCTTAAAAGAGATTTGACCGAAACCCATTAACAAATTTATACTAAAAAAAAGACATGAACATAAAATTTTACATGTAGTTTTGTTATTTGTATGTAGATTTGTTTTATGTAGTATTGGGCGCCATGAACACAAGATTGGTTATATCTGGTAATGGGAGTTTAACATATTTGGACATTTTTTATCATTTTGAGTTATTTTTATTAATTTATTCTAAAATCTTGCAGGCAGTGTAGAAGGGCAGCTGTTTACCTATCCAGCAAAAAGATGGAAGAAAAAGAAAAGATCTTTTTTTCTCTCAGAACGGAGAAGTGGTGTAAATGGGGAAATTGAAACAGGAGATGCTGGTAAACAATGTTAAGGCGTTTATAATTAAGTATTCTTAGATGCAGACCAACTGTAGAGTCATTGGAAAAATTTTCACAATTAAAAAAAAGTTATTATTGTCTTTATTTCAATATTTCATATCGAAAGTCGTATTTTGTAAGAGCATTTCGACATCATATGTATTGACATAGACTTAATTATTTAAAAGTTGTGTTATGTCTAACATAAATAAATCCTTAGAATGTTGATGTTTTTAAAAAAACAAAACATTTTTAGAATTTAAAAAGTAGAAAAGGATGAAGGCTTCTGGCCGAAATGTTCATTTGATTGTCCTGAGTTTTCCATTCAAGCTTTCCATATCTGGAAATTCATACAAAATCAATTTGTAAGGAGGATTGTTGTTCTTACAAATGTTATTTCGAAAAACCCTCCTTTGTACAAATTGGTTTCAAACTAATTTCCAGTAACCCAGGTTTTCATATACCCTGTTCTATGATTCCCCCCCTTTTTTTTTTATAAATCCTATGCTTTATTCAAAATTTATTTTATGACAATGTCTTCTAATGTTAGCATGTTTGGAAAGAAAAACTTACAAAGAAGGATACAATGCCTTTTGTGTTTTTACAGAGTAACATATAAATTCTGATGTAAATTATTTGTATATACATTTTTTAATATTATAATGTGCATGTAAACATTCTGGACCTTACTTTGATCACCAGACATGCATCAGATTAGTGCTATTGAGAACCCAGCTCATCGACTCGATGAACATGATTTTGACCACTTAGAGGCAGCTGAGGGATGGTATGATGATGTGGATGATTTTGGTGAACCCCCTGATGATGGTGCTATGGTAGATGATCAGTCAGATATAAGTGACTTTGAAGATTCATTAAAAGGAAGAAAGCGGAAAAAGGTAAGGCTGCTACTTTAACTTCAAATTGATATTTATCCTATTAAAATAATGATTGAACTAGGAAATTTAAAAAAAAATGTCATAACTTGTTACTAATTTAAAAAAAAAAACTTCTTATCAAAGGCACATACATACTTGTTAAAAGACAAGTAAAATGTTCTGCTCAAGTTAAATTAATATGCAATAATATTCTTTTCTTTTAAATTCTCTAATTTTCATTTCAACAAGTATTTAAAAGTAATATTTACGATTAAAAGAAATGCATATTTTAAACTATAAATTATTGACAGTGGGCCTAATGGTATGGCAATAAAAAACAAGAATTTTAACTTTTTATGGAGACTGCATTATTCAAACAAAAATTAATTCATCAATGAAAATTTTTTGTTGTTCCTTAAATTTAACTTTACACTTATAATTACAAATCTTATTCTGAGTTTTAAAATTTGCTTACAGTACAGTAACTTACATTGCAAGAATAAGAATATTTTGCTACAATCGCCAGTACAAAAATTTTAAGCGGTTTAAAATCTAGTTTCTGCAAGCCATAGTGAGTTTTCAAACACAATAAAACAGCATTAAAATCTCTACTTTTTGAAATGATAAAAACGTATAAAAAAGGAATTGTGAAAAAACATTTTTTTTAATATGATGGGGTACACAACTTTTGTATTAACCATTTTATTGACAGTTGCTTAAGAACTAGCTTTGGTTATTTTTCAGAATCCAAGTAAAGGAAAAAAGAAGAAAAATGATGACCACAGCAAGGACTTGCTGAGTCCTGAGGATAAGGAGAAACCATATGCTTGTGAAGGTATTAAATATGCAATAATGCTATCATTTACTGAGCTCATTATGTCTTGTAAGTAATGAATGTAGTTCAGTGGTTAGCTTTTTCACACTCTAGATTTGTAAAGCTTATTGACACATTATTCAGTCCGAATGTTATAGAATCATGTTGCAAATTTTAGCCTAAATAAGCATCCTCATATATAGATCTGTATAGACACAACATCTATTTTAATATATTATGAATGTTTACTTTAATATAATATTTGGACTTGAAAAAAAAACACATTTGCTTTTAGCTAAGCTATATGACCATCCCAATTTTCCTTTAAAAAAAGTTTAAAAAAACAAAAACAATTTTTGTGTGTATAACAGCATTCTATTTGGACCACTTGGGTTTAGATTTGACCATAAACCATCTTCTCATTAAGCATAATTGTCTAATGACTGTAAACTGTAATGTGCTCTTGATAACTTTTTTAAACTAAAAATAATCTTTGAGTCTAGACATTAAATTTATAGCTTAGTTATTCTTTTAAAATTTCTTTCGTTTGATCAGTAGTGAAGACAATTTATGCATTTTGGTGTTCTTGGTTATTAGAGATTTAGAGGGTCTGGAGCACATTTGATTTCTTGCCATTGTTCTGACTAATTTCTTTGGTTATTTGTGCTCTTCACCCTCATTGTGTGCACAGTTGTTAGTGCTTAAACAGGATGCCAACCACCATTGAAATAAACAAAATGAGTGCTCTATATCTTTGTATGTCCTTTATGTGACTAAATAATATGTCATAATGTCAGGATTAGCTTACTGACATGTTTTTTTTACATCTTATTTTTTCGGGTGTAATCATTTTAGGGTAATTTTCATTGTGAATGGTTTACTCATATATACTTTAAATCCTCAGTTGGAAGAAGGAAAGGTATGATGGATTGGTCAGGCTTTTTTTTTTTTTGTTTTCACAGGTTTTCATTTTGCCTAGTCTGGAATATTTCTCACTTCTTTTTAATTTTATTTAAAATTAGCTTTTTTTCCCCCTTATTTTATTTTCTGTGTGGATTGCAATAGCTAAAAATCGCCACATTGTTTTTTGTTATCATTTTAGGGTAATTTTCATTGTGAATGGTTTACTCATATATACTTTAAATCCTCAGTTGGAAGAAGGAAAGGTATGATGGATTGGTCAGGCTTTTTTTTTTGTTTTCACAGGTTTTCATTTTGCCTAGTCTGGAATATTTCTCACTTCTTTTTAATCTTATATAAAATTAGCTTTTTTTCCCCCTTATTTTATTTTCTGTGTGGATTGCAAGAGCTAAAAATCGCCACATTGTTTTTTGTACTCCTGAGTAATTTATTATTGTTTATTATTTGTTTCAAATTAAAATTTTTTTTTTTTGGTCAATGGATATCACTTTCCAAGCTACACAACTCACCCATTACTGAATGATGTGATGCTATATTGTTTGCAGCTTGTGGGGCCCGCTACAAAACGCGGCCTGGGCTGGCATACCACTACTCTCACTTCCACAACGGCATGATGGATGAGGAGAGTAGAACGCCGTCGCCAAAACCGCCGAGCCGTGCAAACTCAGGTTCGGTACTGATAACACAACCACCGTGTTGTCATGCCCTGCCTTGCACATTCTCCCTTTGTGCTTATTTGTGTTTCATAGCTTAGCATTTTCTTTGCTTTGCTTGCTGCATGCTGTTGGCTTTCTGTTTTATGTTCTTTAAAGACATTATATTATTGCCCATTGCAATATCTGCTTTTAGTGGTTGACTTGGTTTTGCATGTTATACCATTGAGCATTAAATAACTGGAAATTCATTTACTTCCAATTACTCATTTGGTTTTTGCTTTCCCATTTAATTTGTCATCCCTTATCTTTCATTTTTTTTTACTCTTTTGTAAATCATAAAATGTCAAAAATGCCAATGGGCTATTGCCATTAAAAAGTATTTGTGATTAAAATGAAATAAAAAATATAAAAAATTTAACATAAACATGTATAATTTTGATCTTCATTAATTTTACTGTAGTCTGTGATGAGATATTTAGGCCTAGTAGTATTAAGTATTATTTTCATGATGAAAATCAGATTAGATCTGGGGTCAATGTTCTTTTATCTTTTGTTGAGCTCAGGTTGCCCAAATACATGTTAAGTTTAAGTGTCTGATTTTTTTAAAGGTTAAAGGTATTTTGAAATAATTGAAAGTATTTTACCCTATATTGTCACTTTGGTTATGATTATACATTTTTACAAACAGTTGTTTGTAAAAGAAAATAAATGCAAACATTTTTTTTTTTAATAAGTCTGCCTTTTCTGACTTATTTGAAGAACATAAGAATTAAATTTATATTGTTCTGTGGAATAAAAAAAAAAAATCCAAATTGATTTAAAAGCAGTTTGTTAAAAGCTTTAACATGATATGCTTTTACTTCAATTCTCACACTCTTACAACACTAATGAAATTGCTATGGGGACAGTACTTTTTAAATCCTTGTGGCTTTTAATGGTGGATAACAGATTCCTTTAAATGTGATAGAATTATTAATCTACAAACTTTACAGAATACCCATTTATTTCTTCACTACCAAAACTAATGCCTCCTTCCTTAAGTCATAAGCATTTTAATTTCTTCTAGACACATCTTGATAATTTTCAAATGCATTCTGTGCAAGAATATTTTAATTAAAAATGAATTTGTAAAAAGTATGTGGAAATGGCATGTGCATTAAGTTTGGTTTTGAACATGGTCATGGTGTTTGCAATCCTTAATGGTGGCTTGTATTCTTGCACTGAACTTTCATTTTCCTTTTTCATTTTTCACCTTTTTTTAATTTCTCAATATACAATTAAAATATGTTTAGGGAGAAGAGAATGTTATTGGTGCCACTACTTCCATTTTTCAAGTTTTACATAAAAATATAAGAACATTATTAAGAAAAAAATAAAGAGGAAATTCGTTACATTTGTAGCTTTTCACTGATTAATTGCCAACACATTAAAATTTCTGAACAAATTTGGTCATAAAATTTAAAAAAACATTTTTTTTTCTTGTTCACAGTTTAAGTTAAGATATATTTTTGAGATCATCATTTACCTAGTTTCATTCCATTAAAAGTATCTTTATGCTTTGTTTTAATGTTTTTGAATTGAGAGTCTCCAAAAACTTAGGTTTTTTTTTATAAAGAATCTAACTGCAATTTTGAGTAAAGGTTAAAAGCATTTCACTTTTCTTTATGGCTTTTTTTTGTTTGTTTCTTTCCAACTTTTAACAGAATACATACCAAAAGCCACTAAACGAACCAGGAGCGATACATCATCTACCAACGGCGGGAAAGGTAATTTATAATTCATCCCTTAAGAGCTTAAGATTGTTCAGCTGACTAAAGAATTAAAACATATGTAGTAACCCTAATTTCACATCAGATACTTTTATTTTGAGAAATACTTTGCTAAAGTGGGACCTCTGAAAGCACCAATGTGTGGCTGTTTAAAAAAAAATGTATTTTGAAATTCATATGTCGTCTCATAATTATACATTTCCATATGCCTATCTGGCTATTAGCTGAAAATTTTGTTATTCCCGCTAATTCTGTCAATGAAATGTAGCCTGAAATGTAGCCTTAAAATGTAGCCTTAAAATGTAGCCTTAAATATAGCCATTCTAAAAAAATTATTTGAGGTTGAGAAAGGATAAAGTCAATTGTGTGACAGTTTATATTTATGAACATGGTTTATTTTAAAGATGATGCATTTTCTGAAACAAAATTGATGCTCATCTAACAGCCAGTAAATCGTCATCCAACGGAGCCAAGGTATCTGCCAACAATTACTGTGATTTTTGTCTGGGAGATGCAGCTGAGAATAAGAAAACTAAAGTTGCTGAGGAGCTGGTTTCCTGCAGTGACTGTGGCCGTTCCGGTGAGCTGGACTCTTTGATTAAACAGATACAAAAATCAGCAACGATAATGCTGTAGACTGTTTATTTAAATCAAAGAAGTAAATGTGCAATGTTTTACTTGCTATGTTGTTTCATGCAGTATAACTTTTCAGCTCCATAATTTTGTTAGCAATTCAGACCTGTTTACTCTTACGATTTTGGCGTACAATGTACGATTTTGAGGTGTATACATTATATATAATGTTTGTTTATTTTTTACTGTTAAGATAATGTATTGAACGATTTTGTGATGATATTGTACGATTTTAAGAGTTTGAGGGTAAACAGGTCTTGAAATTAAACACAAGCTAAGTAAGTATAATAATTTATTGTTTCCAATAGAAAAGATAACAACCCCTAAAGTATTTCTTTGTTTATTACAGGCGGCCAACCAACTGTTCCGTTCCTTACATGCTTAAAAGACTAAAAGATATTTAATGAATTTTTTATTCATAGGTCACCCTTCCTGCCTTCAGTTTACAGACAACATGATCATCTCAGTAAAAAAATATCCCTGGCAGTGCATTGAATGCAAGTCTTGTGGGCTTTGTGGGACGTCCGATAACGACGTAAGTCAAAAGGATGCATTTCAAGTCTCTCATCATTTGTGCTGTAATTAAGTAATAACAAGTTTGTAAACTTATGAATTGTATATTTGTCAGTATACACAAGGCTATTATTCTTCCCTGCTATTTTGGTCAGAAATTTGGCAGTTTAGTTTTGTTAACTAATGTTTTTAGATGATCCTTAAAAATATCACAAAGATATAAGAAGGTGACCTGAAGCCTGGGTGCATGCATAGCTCAACTGTGCACTAATTCAGCCATCTCTGTAAGCCAGCCCTTCCCATTGAAGTTGCTCATCTCTCATCCTGTTATCAACAGGACCAGCTTCTGTTCTGTGACGACTGTGACAGGGGCTACCACATGTATTGTCTCAATCCTCCACTCTCTGAGCCACCCGAAGGTCAGTCATGGTTTACATTGTGACATAAAACAAAAAAATAAAAAAAACCTGAAACTGGGGCATTAACTGGGACAACCTTACAAATATTTTCCAAGTGTTAAAATATTGAACCCAGCCTGTCAAATGACTATATGATGTCAGCCTGAGCCTGTGGGTGGGGTTAACTTAGTGTCTAATGAGTGTTGGAATCAAAAGTGTCCCATTCAAACCAGTTCTTTGATGCTGTCTTAATGATTCATGCTACCTTCATAGAATCACTCCTAGCTGAAATAGGATTCCTATATGTAATCGCTCCTACCTGAAATAGGACCACTATACATAATCGCTCCTACCTGAAATAATACCACTACCGGGTATATATAATCGCCCTACCTGAAATAATACCACTGTATATAATCCCTCCTCTTTGATTTAACTTTCAGGAAGCTGGAGCTGTCATTTATGTATTGAAGAATTTCATGGAGGGAAAAAACCTGCCGGCATGAACTGAATGCTATCATCTACTCAAACACATCTCATCTGAACATAACTCTTTTAAGAATTACCCACGATTTCATTGTTAATGTTATATTGTAAATTTGTACTGCAATGTTATCTTTATGATTTACACATTTCTGTTTATAGATTAACATTTTTTGGGGCCATTATATGATGCAGAAAGACTTTTTTTAAATGAGCCTAGTTATTTTAAATAATTGTGTGATTGAAAAGCATCCATCCGAAAGAAAAATGTTTGTAAAAAAACGTTGTCTTAAAATCTCTTCTTCTCTCAAAGTAACTTCACGGTTGTTTATTTTTTTATCTGTTAGCTATGGTTGTAAAGAATTGGACAATAATCATCAGTTGCGAGTTTGTTTATTGGTTTGTGTAGAGGAGGCTCGGTCATCACATAGATGAGGTTGTGTAAAACTACAGCAGACCTGTTTACTCTTACGATTTTGGCGTACAATGTACGATTTTGAGGCGTATACACTATATATACTGTATGTTTATTTTTTACTATTAAGATAATGTACTGAACGATTGTGTGATGATTTTGTACGATTTTAAGAGTTTCGAGGTAAACAGGTCTGCTACAGTGTGCCCGAAAGTAACAGTACTGGAACCCCTGCACCTTGAACATGGTCATACTAATCCAGGTATTGGTCAGGATGATGTGTTGGACAGTTGTTATTTTTGGCAATGGTCTCTCAAAAGAGGGCAAAAATATTCACTGTCCACCATTATTTTGGCCGTGTTGCATGGCGCCCACTTATTAAACCTCTCTCAGAATTGTTGTGCCACCATTTTCAAACTCTGTCCGCCCCCCCCATGACCAGTTATGTAAGACTGTAGACAAACTCATCTGCTCGTTCAAGATGCGAGAGTTTCAATGCCTGCCACACAACTGTCCGCTGTGGCTTTATCCCTGTACTGTCATGTGTTAGGACATTTTGCAAAAACTGTAGTTATTTTATTCAATGTTTTTTTTGACATTTTTTCTGAAAATTGACTATGGTTGTGTCAAAGAAAATGTTAGTCATAATCAAACCATTAAAAAAAAGTGGGCAGGCTGCGCTGGACAGAACACTTTAAGAGGATGCAGGACTGTAGAGCAGCAAATGTGAACTACAGACAGGAACCCAGGGGCAGATGGCTGACGGGTTGTCCAAAACTGAGATGGATTGACGATGTAGAGAAGGTCTTTCACCAGTCCACGCATGGAGTTGGAAAGCCATGGATCCGAATGGAAGGATGTGGTGGGGCGGGCCGGGGCCTTACACGGGCTGTAACACCATTGATGATGATGATTATGAAAAGAAATTGTATTTAGTTCTGGACAGTGTCTTAGAAGCTAGGTCAAATATTTATTAACTGGGTTAAAAAAACAAGATGCACGATACCGGTATACAAACAAGTTTGCTTAAAGTTTGTGTAAACACTTGCATCAAATGTTGGACTAAGATATTAAAATGCTATTTAAGTTATCTCTATATTGGCGTTGTGCTCTTTTCCCCAAACCCAAAAGGCTTTCTTTCTTCCTGAAATAAGTTCACATTTCAGCCATTGAAGCACTATCATCACATTTCAGCCATTGAAGCACTATCATCACATTTCAGCCATTGAAGCACTATCATCACATTTCAGCCATTGAAGCACTATCATCACATTTCAGCCATTGAAGCACTATCATCACATTTCAGCCATTGAAGCACTATCATCACATTTCAGCCATTGAAGCACTATCATCACATTTCAGCCATTGAAGCACTATCATCACATTTCAGCCATTGAAGCACTATCATCACATTTCAGCCATTGAAGCACTATCATCACATTTCAGCCATTGAAGCACTATCATCACATTTCAGCCATTGAAGCACTATCAAACATTTCAGCCATTGAAGCACTATCATCACATTTCAGCCATTGAAGCACTATCGTCACATTTCAGCCATTGAAGCACTATCATCACATTTCAGCCATTGAAGCACTATCATCACATTTCAGCCATTGAAGCACTATCATCACATTTCAGCCATTGAAGCACTATCATCACATTTCAGCCATTGAAGCACTATCATCACATTTCAGCCATTGAAGTACTATCATCACATTTCAGCCATTGAAGCACTATCATCACATTTCAGCCATTGAAGCACTATCATCACATTTCAGCCATTGAAGCACTATCATCACATTTCAGCCATTGAAGCACTATCAAAAATCTTTTAGAACCAACAAAAATGTCCACACAAACATTTCATTTGAAAGTATGTTAGTCCAAAAATTTGGTGTGCCAGTTGGTCTGTGGGCTATTTTTACCAGGAGACTGTCACTGGGAGGCTTTTTACCATGGTGACTGTCACCTTTATTATTGTTACTTTGATGACTGTCAGTGTGGTGATTGTTTAACCTAGTTGCTGTTCACTGGCCATGTCCTGGTTTTTATTGACTAAAAGCTCTCAACAACTTAAATTCTGATAGTGTGGAGTTTAACCATAGCTGACCAAATGAGAAAATGCCATTTGCTTGTACTGTATCAATCGGATTAGATTTTAAGGATACCATGAGTGTATATCCTTAATCTTTTTACAATTAAATAATGATGCTATTATTACTATGAGTAGTATGAGTATGATTGACAAGATTAATAAATTTTATTTCTCTTGTATTTTTCCATAAAAAAACAAATTCTTCTCATTCTCACTGACAATCTCAGTGGAATGACTTTTGCTAAAATTCCAAGAACTACACTCATTTAAACTCTTATCCTTGCAGGGAAAATGTTCACAATTTTAATGTTTTTACCCTGAGTGTTAATGTGATACCGTTATAGATAGACTAATACTAATAACACACCTGATGAACACCGGTAACAAGTGTTGTCTATAGACTTTGTCTTGGTTCTTAGAAAATTAGTTCATGCTACCAGTACTACCTGAAATATTAATTAATTAGTGGGTTGCCTGTGTAAATTACGGGAAGAGGTGCAAAATCTATATTAATAAATCCAGATGGTGCTCCATATATTCACTGTTTATTCTATCCTTTAGGTGTCATCATCCTAGTTCTCTTTTTAAATTGCCCTTTGATCAGATATTGGCTGAGAAATACTTCAGGTGGGGTTGGAATTATTGGGAAAATAATTGGTACGGAAAACCCCAGTTATCTTTTCAAAGGGACCTTCATGGCACTGGCATTTTTCCCGATATTCATTCGGCTTTGTCCTCTGGAGGCTGACAAAAACATACCGGTACGGTTAGGAGTGAAACAAATTTATTGTTTTGTATTTTATTTTGTACATTGTGTGCCAGATTTTCAACCAACACTGTACAAGATTAATAGTCATTTTTCTTAATATGTAAATAAATAATTTTTTGATCCAATGTAAAGATGGCTGCCATTTCATTGTTCATACTATGTACTGTGTTATGTCATTATGCTGTTATAAAATGTGGATACAAGATTGACTGAAACATCCAGAACGAGAGGATTGTATGATTGCTGTCACAATGAGCACGAGGGAACTGTATGATTGCTGTTACACTGAGCATGAGAGGACTGTATGATTGCTGTTACACTGAGCTCGAGCGGACTGTATGATTGCTGTTACACTGAGCTCGAGGGGACTGTATGATTGCTGTTACACTGAGTACAAGGGGACTGTATGATTGCTGTTAACACTGAGTACAAGGGGACTGTATGATTGCTGCTGTTACACTGAGCACGAGGGGACTGTATGACGGTATGATTGATCCTACAAATAAAAGTGTTAGTTTAAAGCCTCTCCCGCTGGCGGACCAAAGCATGGCCGAATGAATATGACGTGTGGTCTGCATGTGGCATTCCTCTTAATTGAACAATGATACAGAGGATGGTTGTTTTTGTTTTGTTTGGAAGTGAGAACTCGACACACGCAACCATAACTCAGCACCACATGACGCTATACGCAGCCATAGCTCGGCACCACACAACACTACACGCAACCATAACTCAGCCACACATGGCGCTACACGCAGCCATAACTCAGGGACACATGACGCTACATGCAACCATATCTCACGACACTACACGCAGCCATAACTCAGCCACACACGGCACTACACGCAGCTATAACTCAGCCACACGACACTACACGCAGCCATAACTCAAACGCACGGCACTACACGCAGCCATAACTCAATCACACACGGGCACTACACGCAGCCATAACTCGGCCACACATGACACTACACGTAGCCATAACTCAGCCATACACGGCACTACACGCAGCCATAAGTCAGCTACACACGGTGCTACACGCAGCCATAACTCAGCCACACACGGCACTACACGCAGCCATAACTCAGCCACACGACACTACACGCATTCATAACTCAAACACACGGCACTACACGCAGCTATAACTCGGGACACACGACACTACACACAACCATAACTCAGCCACACACGACACTACACGCAGTCATAACTCGGCCACACATGACACTACACGCAGCCATAACTCGGCTGCACACGGCGCTACACGCAGTCATAACTCAAACGCACGGCACTACACGCAGCCATAACTCAGGGACACACTACAGGCAACCATAACTCAGCCATACACGGCGCTACAGGCAGCCTTAACTCAGGGACACATGACGCTACATCACACATGCAACCATATGTCACCACACACGGCACTACACGCAGCCATAACTCAGGAACACACGATACTACACGCAACCATAACTCAGCCACACACGGCGCTACACGCAGTCTTAACTTGGGGACACATGACGCTACATGCAACCATATCTCACCACACACGACACTACACGCAGCCTTAAAAAAAACCACACGCCGTTTAAATGTCGATAAAAAATCTTGAGATTGAACACACTTAGTTTCTTTAAGCTGATGTGTGCTGTTTGTTAAATCCACTTGTAAGTGATCCTTTAAAAATATTTTTTTTTTCATCCTGGTGTGAAGAAAAGATATGCCGATTTGAGCACATCTCTCCTAGAACTGGGCATTAGGCCTGATGTTAGCTGAGTGTTCCCAATCAACAACTCAAATAGTTTGAAGTAGTGGAGGAAATATAACCAAAAAAAAACAACAAAAAAACCTGGCATGGAGCGGGAACACTCAATTCTTTCAACAAGGGACATGTAACAAGGGACATGTAACAAGGGACATGTAACAAGGGACATGTAACAAGGGACATGTAACAAGGGACATGTAACAAGGGGCATGCAACAAGGGACATGTAACAAGGGACATGTAACAAGGGATATGTAACAAGGGACATGTAACAAGGGACATGTAACAAGGGACATGTAACAAGGGAGATGTAACAAGGGACATGTAACAAGGGATATGTAACAAGGGACATGTAACAAGGGACATGTAACAAGGGACATGTAACAAGGGACATGTAACATAGAATGAGAAGATAGTCTATCAACATGGAGGGTATGTAATTGAAAAGAAGACATTCTATCACTTAAGTAACACGTCAGGTTTTTCCACACCAGTTGCCACCAGATGATGAATTCCAACAAAGCTAAAATTGATAAGCATCTCATCCCGTCTACTATCTGAACAATGCCTGGGCATTCTCTAGAATTTTCTCAGAAACAGTTCCCGGCTTACTATACTGAGCTAAATAAAAATAAATGTGGGAGGGTGAGTGGATTTGGTGTGTGTGGGGTGGGGTAAGAGCTCAGGTAACATTTGATGACTTGAGTGCAAGCTGACACAAGGTTGACACTAAAGCCCGAATGAATCCCGGCAAGGGCCTTTCAGCAGGGGCGTATCTAGAAAGAAAGTATGCAGGTACAGTAACAGCGTAGACCCCTCGTGATATATTACAGTTTCTAGACACAGTAATTTACGTATCATGGTTTAACTTTAAAAAAAAATAATTTCATAAGCCAACGGCTACAGCATTTGAACTGGGTTATAATATTCTTTTAAGCTGATACAATTTTTAACTTAATGCAATAATAACATAAAAAAACCCAACAGTCTTAAAAAAAGAGACACTATGGATTAATGAATTAAGCACGCATTACCCCCCCCCCCCCCCCCC